TWAAAAAAAAATCAAATCTCTCTCTCAGCCCCAGCCCTTGGGCTGCTAGATCTTTCCAGAGGCTGCCCTGTATTTCATTTCTTATATTTCATCCCTAAGAGAATTTGAACATATAGAAATATAAATGTCTTTTTCCCCCTTGGTTTCTATTCACTTGGTATCTCACTCTACAACTGAACATCTTGCTTGTTTACTTAACTGTATATAAAAGATCATTTTGTCCTTTGCTTTTGATGTTGTATAGCATTTCTTTGTGGGGATATGTCATAGTATTTTATACTTGTTTCTGTCCTTTATTATAAACAACTTTGAAATGAATCTTTGTGTCTTTTGCAAGTATATATATAAGATAAATACCTAGACATGGAATGTCTGGGCTAAAGGGTATGTGTTCTCCATTTTGGTAGACAATGCCAAATTGCCTTCTAGCTACCTTTTTTGAAAAATGAGTAAAGAAGAGACCAAAAGAGATATAGATTCATGATTTATTCAGTTCCTCTATCTATGAGCAGCAGTGTAAGAAACAGAAAAAGTTTCTATCTCCAGGCCTAGCCCTCTTYCCTGAATCCAACCTACCTTTCCCCATGGGTAGCTCAGATCCCTGGACCCTCCAAGCTTCCACTTCAGTCCTGTCACTTAGAGAGAGAGAGAGAATTTTTATTTATTTCAGAGGACACAACATTTTTGTTTGCATGTGGTGCTGAGGATTGAACCCAGGCCGCACGCATGCCAGGAGAGCGCGCTACCGCTTGAGCCACATCCCCAGCCCCTGTCACTTTCTTTTCTGACCCCAGTACCCTACCCTCTTAGTTCTTTGGACTTTCCGATAACCCTTTTTAGTAGTTAAATTGATTCTGAAGTCCTCAGACATTGCCGAAATCCAGGGCTGAGACTTTGTACTTTAGCTTGTTTGTTTGGACAATACATATATTTCAGAAAAACAAGAACAGCATTTCTTTTCGTGTGTGTGTGTGTGTGTGTGTGTGTGAGAGAGAGAGAGAGAGAGAGAGAGAGAGAAAGACAGAGAGACAGAGCAGAGAGAGAGAGACAGAGAGAGAGAGAGAGAAAGAGAGTCTCTCACTGTGTTAGCTGGATGGCCAGCTCTTTTAATCAAAAATTTAAGCTGGGCATGGTGGCACATAACTGTAATCCCAGCAGCTCAGGAGGCTGAAGCAGGAGGATCTCAAGTTCAAAGCCAGCCTCAACAACTTAAGCAATTTAGCGAGACCCTGTCTCAAAATAAAAAACATAAAAAGGGCTGAGGATATAACTTAGTGGTTAAGCGCCCCTGAGTTCAATCCCGGGTACAAAAAAACAAAACAAAACAAAACAAAAAAAAAAAACCAAAAAAAAAAAAACAAAAAGTATAATCAAAATCTTGTTGGGTGCTGTGATACACACCTGTAATCCACCCCTCTCAAATTAATCAAAGTGTATATGTGTGTTACTGGGTATCGAACCAAGGAACACTCTACCACTGAGCTACATCCCCAGCCCTTTTACTTTTTTTTTTTGAAACAGAGTCTTGCTAAATTACTGAGGCTAACCTCAAACTTGTGATTCTCCTGCCTCTGCTTCCTGAGTTGCTGAGATTACAGGTGTGCTCCACCACACCCACTTTTTAAAAATTTGTTTTTTGGTACTGGAAATTGAACCCAGGGATTCTTTACTACAGAGCTATATCTCTGGTCCTTTTCATTTTATCTTGAGACAGGGTCTCTCTGAGGCTGGCCTCGAATTTCTAATCCTCCTTTTTCTATCACCAGAGAGTCTCTGGGATTACAGGTGGGCATCACCAAGCTTGGCCATGCCCAGCTTGTGTATGTGTGTGGGGGGGCATTGCTGGGGCCTCATGCATGCTAGGCAAGTGCTTTACCAATGAGCTATACCCCCACCACTTTTCTTTTGTTGTTTTAAGACAGGGTTAGTAGCTGGGATTACAGGTGAGCGCTACCATATCCAACTAATCAAAATCTTTTGGACCAAAAGAATTTGTAGTCACCAACTAACTCTGTGAGAAAAAATGTCAGCTAAGAGTTGGCTGCCCGGACTTTCAGGGCAGGCAGCATGCTTCTTGGTCAGTTTGGGTGTCTATTCCCGAGTGCTGCTGCAGCTTTGAGGGAATTCTGCCCAACAGCAGCATCCCTCATATGAAGTCTCAGATAAATGGTACCTCTCTGGGCCAATAGTACCCTGATTTGGAGTCAGAGCCTAGCCCAGGGATGTATATAGCAAGCCCTTGGCCTCAGATTGTGACCCATTTTGTCTCACAAGTTTGGGATTTAGCTAGTTGAGAGGTATCTACAGCTGCAGCTGGGCAATGGGGACATATCAGTCATATTCCTGTTTTTCCTTCTGGGAACTCCTCAGGGTACAGGGCTGTTCTGGTGTTGGAATGATAAAGGGAAAKCCAGGCTTGGGATGTAAATTCATAGGTTCCTTTCAAAGTAATTGCCCTGGTGATGGTGTCCCTGGAAAGCCAATGTGCAAGCCAGAGAGATTTGCCCCAGATGGGAACCACCCAACTCAACTATATTCATAGGTCTTGACCTGATTACCTTGCAAAGATTTGCTTTTATTTAGAATGCCAGCTCTTTGATCATCTTTGTCACCTTTGATTGCAGGTGACAAGATTARAATGAATCCAGTATACTACTTCTTATGACAGTGTGTTCCTTGGGGCCACTGACTTAAGAAAGCAACCTCAATCAACCACATCATAAATCTTGGACATAAACCTTGTAGACTGTCAGCCACAGTCTAGAGACAGAAAGACAAACCAGAGAGCTATTTGAGGGTAATTATATTGTCTACCATTTAATGAGCATTTCTGTGTCAGGAATTTGCTTACAGTGTCATTGGTCTATATACCACTCTAGGGAGTATCCATACCCCATGCCCATTTTTCAGATGAGGAAACAGTTCTTTCAGTTAGTGGATGCAGAGTCAGGAGCCAACCTAGATATGTTTCTTCAAAGCCAGGGCTCTTTTTTCCTTGTGTGGCTTCTTATTGAAGATAGAATAAGTGTCCAGAAGACTGTACTTAAGTCCCTGAGAGAAACCTTAGGTCATTCCATTTAGCTTTGAGGTGTGACTCCTCTGAGGTGACTTCAAATACTGTCAAGCTTGGCCTGCATGATGCTGTGCACCTTGGGTGGGCTGAAGTGGCCCTATGGAATGGATTGCAGTAGAAGTATCGAAGGCAGGACAGTGTGGACCAGATGGCTTTGGGTGGGGCAGGATTTCATACCATTTATCATGCCTACATTTCCTTTTTATTTCAGATGTTTTCAAATCAGCGAACATTTACTGAGCATCTGCTACGTCCAAGGTACAGTTCCGGGGATTTGGGGGAAGACATGTGGGGGGACAAAGGTGAATGAATCACAGCATGTTAACTGCCTTTGAGGGAAGCTTGTGTATTAGGGGCAGATATATGGGGATGGCAAAGCGTTCCAAATGGCCTAGTGACAGTTCCAGTAAGGACTGAGCATAATGGCCCCTGACCCTGCTTCCTGGATGAGGGGATGCTTGCAGTGGGATCTGAAAATCAAGTCATATTTTCTTGAGCTGAAGAGTAAGAGGTGTTTCAGGCAGATGTGCTAAGATGGGGTCTGCCATATTTTTTTGCATAGTCAGATTCTGGGCCAATGGGCAGGGGCTCCCGAAAGGAGAGTCCAGTTGCCAGGATTTTGTCCCTGGCTCCTGGCCTTACCACCACGAACTCAGAGTTAGCCTCTCTTCCCAGATGCAGTGCTGCCTGCTTCTGCTGGAGTCCCATCTTGGGCCCAGAAGATAGTGGGGGGTGGGACCCTTCTGTAAGGTCAAGACCATCCCTTCCTGTCCTGCATGTCATCTTTGGACACCAGGCCAGCTATTGGGCTCAGGGAAGCAGAGCAGGGGTGGGGGATTGCTGCCACCTGGTGGTCTGGCTGTGGCCAATGCCTGGCCTTTTCTAGAGCTCCCTGAAGTGAGTCAAAGAATATTAGCCCACCTTTCTGTGTAAATCTACCACAGGACCAGATTTACCTAGAGAAACATGGTCATTTCTGCTGCAGGAAGAAACCAAAGAGGAATTTTCCCCTCTTGGGTCCTGGCTCTTCTTCCTAAGAAACCCTAGGCAGCCCTTCTGAGGCACAGGAAAGAGGTCCTGAGTTTCTAGTCCTGAAGGGATTATATGTCTGTTGAGGGGCAGAGGCCACACCCCCATCTGAGCACCCCCACTCCCTCTTTCCCTTAGAAAAGGCTAAGGGGGCCCTCTCTGAAACTTGCATTTGGACTTCAGGATGGAGATGACTAATCCTAACAGAATCAGCATGTGTTCTCATGGCTCTGGCCCCAGACTGATATTACCAGATGAGAACATGTCTTATTGGGTTTCACTTTGATGGCTGTGGAGACAGAGCACTTTGAGTAACAGGCAGCCACATTGTGTCCTGAATAAACCCTGGACCTTCCTACCTTATCTTGGTCAGACTGGGACCAGAGCCTGCTTTGGGGCTCTGGGATAGCCCTCTACTACCACCCTCTCTGCACTGCCTCCTTTTGTTGGGCTAGGATCCCAGGTTCCCTGCAGTGTGCTTGGGAGGTGCCTGTTTTCCCTGCTAAACCTGGCTGCAGGCATGGGACCCTGGGCTCCCACCTGGACCTCCTCTGGCTAATGCTGTACTCTTTCTCCCTCTGGAGATGAACATCTGCAACAAGCCTTCCAACAAGACAGCCCCTGAGAAGAGTGTGTGGACAGCACCTGCACAGGCCAACGGACCTTCCCCAGAGCTGCAAGGCCAGCGGTCCCGTCGGAATGGGTGGAGTTGGCCTCCTCACCCACTTCAGATTGTGGCCTGGTTGCTGTACCTCTTCTTTGCTGTGATCGGCTTTGGGGTCCTTGTTCCTCTCCTGCCTCACCACTGGGTGCCTGCTGGCTACGCTGTATCCTTAGGAAAGTGTGAGGCTAGTGCATGGAAGAGAAGGGACATTGGATGGATGGAAAACAGAGGCTTGAAGCTGGATCCAGAGCCTCAAGAATCACAGTGTGGGGCAGAGCAGGGCAGGCCCAGCTGCTTCCCAGCCTGATCTCCAGCCCACACCAACTCCTCCTCTGATAGGGCAAGTGGGTGGATATAAAGTACCTTAGAGCATTGAAACCCCTTAACAGAAGGGTCTTATCACCTGCAGTGTCACAGGAGCCATCAGAGGAGAGAGCATTAGAGCTTCTTCAGGTTGATTGTGCCCAGAGCTAAACAGATAGCATATTGGGGAGTAATTATTCTATTTCTCAAAGAGTTTGTCATGGTAGAATTCTTTTACATTGTAAGTTTCCTAGTATATTTAAAATGTGGTTTTATTTACGGGCAGATTATTATGTTGTTCCCAGAATTTTTTACAAACTCACTGATTTTGTAATTCAGACCCTTTTTAGGGTGAGAGTGAATGTGACAAGAGGTGGCATAGAGATACCCTAAAAGCTCTTAGGAATAGTGACAAACATGGACTTGACTGGGCCTAGTGTGACTGCCCCAGCCCTGGCCACAACACCCAGGAGTTGTAAGGCTGAGGGCCTCTATGTGCCCTGTTGGGAGTTCCTAGGGGAATGTCCTGCTGTGTGCTAGAACAAAGAATCCTGGGAGAAGAAGACCAGAGCAAACTTGAGAGCCTGGGGCATACTCAATGGCCAAGTATGGTCCCAGCTTAACCCCTTCAGGTCTGCACATGACTGAGCAGCTTCTCAGCTTCTCTAGCTTTGGGTCTCAGCCTCCTCTGACTTGTAGGAAGGGTGATCCTTGCTTCCTGCAGGTGGGTGGGGACGAGGAGCACATTAGGATGGGTGTGAGCACCAGAAGGCATGAACCATAAGGAGAGCATGCGCTCTTGGGAGACTGCAGAGCCCTAGGCTGGTGTGTGACAAGGTTCAAGGGCAGGTGAGTGAAGGACTCTAGAAAAGATTGTCATCCTCAGACACCAGCAGTGTCATTGGGGTCTCCCTGGTTCACTAGAGTGCAAAGTTGTCAGCTATATGAATGGAAAGCTGACCTTTCCTTGAGGTGATCAACAGGCCTTAGTGCAGTTAGGTGGAATGCTTTGTGGGACATTCCTCCTAAGGTCTAGAGTGGATACATCCCCCACTCAGGTTTACCTGGATTTCTGCTGTCAAGGTACCTGGGAAACCAGATGAATAACCATGGTTTGGAGTGAGCAGAATCAGAAAATAACAATAAACAAAAAAGTAACTAAAATTTATTGAGCAATTATAGGTGCCAGGTACTGTCAGCCATTTTACATGGGTCATCTTATTCCTCATAATAATCCTGTAAGGAAGGTATTCTCCCCATTTTACTAATGAAGAACTGGGGCTCAGAGAGAATAAGTGACTTCCTGAGGTCACTGGTATCCAGTGAGGCCAGAAGGGCTGTTCGGCAGTCTGACTGAGGAAGTGGGATCATCTGAGGGTTTGGTCTTACCCACATTCACTGTCCATCCACTTGGGTTATGTAGCAGCTCCCAAAGTCACCTGGTTAGGCACCTGACCAGGGCTTCCATCAAAAGCCTCCTTCTTTTGCAGACTCTCTCAAGTCCCTGAGGAATGAGATAGGGTAGTGGTATGTATCAAGGACCCACTGTGGGCCTGGAACTGGCCTGAGCCCAAGAAATGCAAAGATGAGCACTGAGTGCTCAGCTGCCAACTGGAGGAAAGGCTAGTAGGTTGGACGTGGTGGTCACACCACATTGTAAATATGGGGTAGGAGCTCAGAAAGCAGACTGGAAGCAGAAGAAGGGCACCTATACTGGCCTCACACATCTAGAAATGCACTTACTGCTCCCCCTTCCCATATATAGCCTCTCCCAATATGCTTTGGGCTCCTCCCCCTTCCTCTGATACTGATATCATCAGTCACCAAGTCCTATTGATTTCACCTTCTTTTTAAAAAATGTGTTGTTTTTAGTTATACAAGACAGTACAATGTMTTTTGATAATATTATATATACATGGAGTGTAGCTTCCCATTCTTGTGGTCGTACATGATGTGGAGTTACACTGGTCATGTATTCATATATGAGATTTCATCTCCTTAATAGCTATCAAACTTATCCTTTCTCCTCACTGCCATCGGTCTTCCTCTCTGGCCTATTTTCTTTCCAAGCAATGCCTCCTGCATGCCCTCACTCCTGTAGCCATAGTGTTCTTAAAAAAAAAAAATGGTAACAATTCCATCTCAAAAACCTCTAGTGGTTTTTTCCTATCTAAGAAATGAGGTTCAAGATCTTTATATAGCCTTCAAGCCTCTCCATCTCTGGACTCTGCCTGTCYCCCTGGCTGCTTCTTATATTATTCCCCCTGTTCTCTGTTTTGACAACACTGGAAGCCCCCTTGCCTCTTTGCCTACCCCCCAGCACTCAGCTGAGTCAGAGGTCAAGAATTAGTAGCCTATGGCCGATCTGATTTCGTAAAAACTGAAGGATAATTAATACAAACAAAATACTCAGCTCTTATTCACAGGTGTATTTGAAAATTATTTATTTCCTTAACATTTAAATATTGAGAGATCTCACATAAAACTCCAGATTTCTAGTTCCTTTGGAAAAGCCAGAATTTGGCAACACAGACCCTCCTTCTTGTGTGGCAGCTCTGAACTGGGACCACATATCAGCTACCCCTCTCATTGACACCTTGCATGTTCCCAGCAGCCTCAGTACCCAGTAGGCCCCCTTTCCTCCTTACCTTACCTCACCATCAAGGGCCCTGTTGTCCATTCTTCTCCATGTCTCAACTGAGACCGTACTTCCTTGGGGAAGCCTTCCAGAATCTTTCAGACTAGATGGGGGCTCTCAGTTACAAACACACTCTCCTGTGGACTTTCTTCATTTAATTAGCCTGTTATTTGATTAATATCTGCATTTCCCACCAGATTGTAGGCTCCTCGGGGCTGGGAACCAAGTCTGTTTAGCCCCTGTCATATTCCTCAGTGCCTGGCATAAAGATCTCAGAAAACAGTTGAATGAATGAACCAGAGGGTGGGCAGCAGAAGTGCTAGAGCAGGCAGGAAGTTTAATGTTTGACCATGCATTGAGTATTTAAAAGAGGCTCATATGGTGAGATGCTGTGGTTGGTGGTACTGGAGAGGTTTGGGAGGAGCCAGAGCAAAAGGGACCTTTGCCCTGAGCTGAGGCATGAACTTCATCTGGAGAGCCCTTGAGAGGGCCTAAGGCTTAAGCTTTTAAAAGCTCACTGTGACCATGTGAAGGGAACTCTCAAGGGAACACAGACAGGAGGGGCAGAGTCAGGAGGCTCTTGAGTGACCCAGGCAAGTGGTAAAAACCTGACCATGGCAGTGACCATAGGGATAGAGGTCAGTGGTAGCCAGGAGTTGCCTCAGCTATGGTATAGCACATTAGGGTGGAACTTGGCATTTGGCTACTGGGAGGGAGAGGAAAGGAATTTGGACAGCTGATAGTGAAAGATGGAGGAGAATTATGATGAATCTATATGATGGAGGGATGATATCTGGTCACCAAGAGAATGGATAGAGGTTCACAGGTGAGGAGATGGAAGAAGGAAGGGTAGGTAGATGACTATATGAGTGGAATCTTATTGGTTAATTTTTACAGTTAGACAAGTTGACAGCATACTCATCTCCTGAATTTCTCTCAGTTACTAAGTAGATAGGCCCTGGGACAGATATGTTTCAGCTCCAGGAGTTAGCCATTCTGCCCCTGGGCAGGCCCTGAACATGTCAGGCCATCCCAAACACTCATCCCAAGTCTCTAAGAGCCTGGTCCCCCTATCTGCAAGTGGTTCTCCACCTGGTCCGACTGCTGAAAGGGAATGGCCTCTTCTGTCTTGGAGCTGACTCCCTGTGAAAGCAAGATAAACAAGTTCAGAACTTAAAATTTATTTATTTGCTTGCTTGTTTGTTTTTTGGTCYCAGGGATTGAACTCAGGGGCACTTAACCACTGAGCCACATCCCAGCCCTTTTTATATTTTATTTAGAGACAGGGTCTTGTTAAGTTGCTTCAGGCCTCATTAAGTTGCTGAGATTGGCTTTAGACTTGAGATCCTCCTGCCTCAGTCTCCTGAGCTTCTGGGATTACAGGCATGTGCCACTGTGCCTGGCAGAACTTGAACTTTYGGTCCCTGGACCTTCAGACCTTCTTTCATCTCACTTCATCATCTGGAATCTGAAACTAGAAAGAAACTGGCCTGAGTTCAGACCAGTCAGGACTTACCAGGGCCTGGAGTGGTAAGGCCCCTGGGTTAGGCCCTGGGTGGCAGCAGGAAGCAGTGGCCCCTCTCCTCTATTTGGGGCCCATGGGTCCACTGAAGAGGGCTGACGAGGAGGTTCCTAGAGAGCTGGAGGCAGGAGGTGTCACAGGAGCTCTCTGCATAAAGGTATTTAATATGGGGCGGGGGAGAGAAGTTTTCTGGCTACAGGATGTGGGCAGGGCTTCCAGCCAGCAGAGTGTGGAGTGAGTCTTTAACCTGTTGGGCCAGTGCATGGGTGTCATCTTTGCTGGTCACCTCGTGGTGCACCTGACTGCAGTCTCCATCGATCCAGCAGATGCCAATGTACGGGACAAAAGCTATGCAGGACCCCTGCCCATCTTCAACCGCAGCCAACATGCACATGTCATCGAAGATCTGCACTGCAACCTGTGCGACGTGGACGTGTGAGTTCATGTGTATGGATGTGAGTGTGTGGACCACATGTGTGCCTGGGGGCCTGCCAGTGGGATACTGGATGGAGAGGGGCATGCGAGGCCTTCACATTCAATCTCATGCCTCAGCACCCTCATTTTTCTCATAGACAAAAGTCTTGATGGAATGACTGAGAACTGGTGGGAAAGTGAGAAGAGGTGATTGAATAAATGAGTTATAGAATTTCTGACGGTTCAAGTAGGAAACATTCGGCACTGCTACTGCCACAAATGACTAACTTTGCCTGTTAAATCCCCTGCTTTATAAACACCCAGAAGGGACAGGAGGAAAGTCAATGCTTGAGTGCGCTGGGCCATGCGCTGTGTAGAGGCCCCCTACCAAGTATGCAGCAGCTTTCTCCCTTCACAGAGGCAAAAAGAACCTATCACTCAGAAAGCTAGGAGGTTGCTCTGAAGTCACATAGCTACTGAACAACAGAGCCAGGGTTACAACCCTGGTTGCCTGGCCCCTGAGCAGATTCTGTTAACCTTTGGTTACTCATGAGGAATAACCCAAAGATGCCAAGAAACTTGCTCCAAGTCACACGGCTAGTGAGGAGAGGGGTCAGAATGTGGAGCACCCATTCACCCTCTAGGGCCCATCCCTCTCCTCCCCTTCTGGGTCTTTCTAGTCTCCCAGCCTTATATGGGGGATGAAGGATGGGGTATTATCCACAGCAAGCTTCACATTTGAAATCTGAAGACCTAGACAGCCTATTAAAAGTGGTCTGTCCACGGGAACCAGAAAGCCCACAACATGAAGGTGCTGAGGACTTGGGCACTAGGCCATCCTGTCATTCCTTACCAACCAGTCGGTGTAAGCCACTAAGAAGTGGCTCTGGTGCTCTTCCATTTTAGGGGCTGACTCTTCCACATTCCCTTTGGCATTTGCTGGTGCCTGCTGGGGATGGGACACTCCCACTTGCATCCTAATGTAGCCTCTCCTCCTCTGACCCCTGCCATGAGCTCCCTTAATGCCCACACAGCTGGCAGCTTGYTCCTCTTCTTTTGGCTCCCTTTCTATTAGTCCACACAGACTGAGGTTTTCTAGAAGAATGCCCGTATAAAGCCCCTCCTGCAGTGTCAGGGAAAGGGATCCAAAAATGGCATTTTAATGAAGAGCAGTGCAGGCCCTAGGCCTAGCAGCCTGCTCACTGCTGTTCTGGATCTCACACTTGCATCATCTGGCCTGGTGAGCCTTCCCTGAGCAGGATCCCATAATGGAGCCCCTCCTTCCTTTCTCCTGGTCCCTCAGCGTCGCCTCTAGAAGTCTCACCCTGCAGATCCACAAGRGGGCGCGCGTGCTCCTCTGCCAGGCGGGTAATTGGGCTCCGGGCCGGTGCTGGGGGTCATTACACCCACTGTACTTGAGTGGGCCACGAAGGGCAAGGGCCAGGGTCCGCCCCTGGGGGGTCGATAAACCACGCGGTGCCTTCCACCCGCAGGAGTGCACGCTCTAAGCACTGCAGTGCTTGCAACAAATGCGTGTGTGGTTTTGATCACCACTGCAAGTGGCTCAACAACTGCGTTGGCGAGAGGAACTACCGGTGAGACACCCTGGGCATGGGGATACCCCTGTCGGTGTGAGCCTCTGGCCTTGTAGCCTGCTTGTAAGAAGGGGTGGGAGAGGGGGACCTAGGCTCCTCTTTGAGAGTGGTGCTCTTGGGGTGTGGCTGGAACGTGTAAGGATGGGCTTGGGGTCTTCCACCTTGCTGGCCTGGTTAAAGGTGGGAAGCCTGAAAAGAGGCTACTCATCTTCAGCTTTGTCCTGTGATTTTGGCTTCTGAGTAGTTGGGGCTGTGAGGTCAGGGGCCAGGCTCCCATTTCAGCCTGGGCCCTTCTGAACTCTTGGCCCTTACTAAGCTGGAGCTCTGGGGTGCTGACAGCTGCCCATGGCTGGGCCAGGCTCTTTCTACACAGTGTGGCATCTGCTTTACTGGGTGTCCTGCTCCTGGTGCTGGTGGCCACTTATGTTTTTGTGGAGTTCTTTGTCAACCCCATGCGGCTGCGTACCAACCAACACTTTGAAGGTCAGTTTGGGTTCCAGGCTTACATCCCCACCATCCCCAGGGTCTTTTCTGGTGACTGGTTTCAGACCTGGCTGAGCACAGTGTGCCTGTGCCTTGCAGTCCTGAAGAATCACACCGATGTGTGGTTTGTGTTCTTGCCTGCTGCCCCTGTGGAGACCCAGGCTCCTGCCATTCTGGCCCTGGCTGCCCTACTCATCCTTCTTGGCCTGCTGTCCACAGCCCTGCTTGGCCACCTGCTCTGCTTCCACATTTACCTCAGTAAGTGCTGTCTTACTTATCTCCCCACCACCTGCCTAGACTACAGGGTGGTACCTCCTTGAACTGTAGGGCCCTGAAATCATGCCCCTCACCAGTGCTGGCTCTTCTACCCATGGCTTAGGCTATATGGGGACAGAAGTTCAGTGGGGGACTAGGTGCCTTCCCTCCCCATTTATGAGCTCCAGGGTCTCCTTTCCACTGCTGAACCCTCTTCTCTCCAGTGTGGCACAAGCTCACCACCTATGAGTACATCGTGCAGCACCGCCCACCACAGGAGGCAAAAGGGGCCCACAGGAAGCTTGAATCATGTCACCCCAAGATGCGACCAATTCAGGTATATAGCTGGCCTGCTGAAGGGGTCAGAGATGGGCCTGGGTGAGTGGGGCTGGACTGTGCAGTGAAAGCCAATGAGTATACAGGGCAAGGCAATTCTGCAAGCCTGGAACAACAGTCAGAATATGGGATGCTGGGGCAGAAAGGCATATCTTGTACTAGGTACAAACATGCCACCAGTACAGCCAGAGGAAACTCTGCATGTCTGTGGCCCTTGTGTGTACCTGTCCAGGCTCCAGGCATGTGCTGCAGAGAGCAGAATGTGGAGCCTAGATGCAGGCAGGTCAGGGCTACAGAATAGAGAGAGGGATGGACCAATGACTGGTTCAGCAGCTGGGTGGCCAGGGTGGATCCTCAGTTCTCTCCATCTGTGATCTTGAGCCCTTATACCCATTACTCTATTTTATCCTTTGAACAGCCCATTTTTATCCTTTGAACTGTCACCAACCTTTGGTGCAAATGAGCACATTTAGGCCTAGAAAAGTTAAACAGAAGCTGGGGCTGGGAAGATTTAAGGCCTCTGCACACTGAAGCAGGAACCCTCCAGCCTAGGCTCTGGTCTGGCCCGCCCAGCCAGCCCAGCTGCTGATGAGCCTATCACCATTCCCACGCCCATGGTTTCCTGAGGTCAGCAACTGGGGGTGGAGGTGGTCCAATCCTCAGAGCCCTGAGGGACTGGGGGGGAAGGGGGCCCAGGCAGGCTTTACTGGGAAGGCTGAGCCCTAGATCCCCAATTCTCATGGCAACTGGACACAAACACAGGCTGGTGGGCGGGTTGGAAGAGCACTTGGGACCCACCTCCCTTGTTCTCATTGCTGGGGCTGAACTCTGCCTGTGGGCCAGGATGGGGAAGTGCTGGCAATTGGTGGAGAACCCCTGCATATCACTGTATGCTTGCCCTGGTGCTGGGTAAACACAGTGGCAGCCATTCTGAGGAGTGGGCATCATCCCCATCCCCACATCACAGAAGAGACTGAGGCTCAGAGAAGCCAGCAAGAAACTTTCTCAAAGCTTGTGGCTCTGCCCATTGAGGGAGTGCTGGTCCTGGGGTGCTCAGAATCCAGGGCCCTTTACCCTCACCCTGCTTAGGCTTTGGGCCCAAATGTGGCAGCAGTGGACACATAATTTCTATTCTTTTCATCTACAAAGGAGTTGAGGGAGGCCTACCCAATAGGAGCTGGGTGCATGTCCCCTCTTACAAAAGAGAGCTGAGATGTTATTGTACCATTTGGGAATACACAAATGTTTCAGGGTTTCTGAGAGAGCATCCTGAGGGACAGCTTTGAGAAAAGGGAGATTAGAGTGGGTATGCCCTGGATCCTCTCCCATCCCATCTCAGGTTGGGTATGCCCTGGATCCTCTCCCATCCATCYCAGGTTGGGTATGCCCTGGATCCTCTCCCATCCCATCCCAGGGGTCCTAGGGCAGGCTTTGCCCCTCTCTGCTGGACGCTGGAGGGGGCTGAGTCCGCACTGGGGGAGGGGAAATATGTGCAGGAAATGGGATGAGGCAGCACACAATTATAATCCCAGTTACCCTGGGGGCTAAAGCAGGAGGAGTGAGCGTTCCAGGTCAGCCTGGGCAGCTTGGGAAGACCCCTCTCAAGATACCAAAAATATTGGAGAAGACTACCTTAAGGCCCCAGTCCCTGTGACTGGCCTCTGACCCCTTACCCAGGGCTCCTTTGATTAGTCAGGCACCTCCGCACCTCTCAGCCCGTCAGCAGTTGGGTGCAGCACTTGCCTGGGGCCTCTGTCTTTGCACCTGTGCAGCCAGCCGCTGCTGACTGGGCTCTGTCCTCTGTCCCCCAGATCTGCCAGGGCTCCTGCAGGCAGTCTTCCCACCCCCACCCAGCAGGAATGCGGGAGGGGCTCCTCTCTGGAGCCGTTGCCCCTAAACATAGGCTTGTTTTAGAGACAGAGTTACAGTGTCTCTGCATTAGTCAGGACGCCTCGGTATCCGTGGAAACGGCTGCGATCCAGTGACAGCTGTCCGGGTGCTCTTCTGCTGGCGGCCATGCCCCCCTCCCCTTCACTCTTCACACCACGCCCTTCCTGGCTGGCTTTTGTTTCCTTACCTGCAGTCCTKGCGGACTTAACTTGGGGGCGTGCCGCATGCTGGGGTGCGGGCCTGGCGGCTCTGGTAACCTCAAGGTCTCTTCGATTTGGGAGGTTGCGTCTTCCACCCCAGAGTAGTTGTGAGGACCACAACTGGCGCCGGATGGGGGCTGCGGCACCTATTGCATTTCCCTCTCCGGGTAGGGGCCTTGGAGAACACGCGCTCACAAGCCCTCTTGCCAGCAGCCGGAATTACGGAATTTTGGCTGGAACTCTGTGCAAAAGGGGCGTCCGCAGGACTCCGCTGCGCGGAAGCTGGCGGGTCGCGCACACGACCTCGGTGCACACTGCGGCCTGTGAACAGCTGCATGGTCTCTCAGCCAGGGAAAGAATCCGCTCAGAGGCTGGAGCTCTGGGTGGGGCCAGGAACAGGAGGGGGCAGCTCTGAGCACCTCTTGCTTACAAGTCCCTTGGCTGAGCAGCTCTAGCCTGGGTGTATTGGACCCATGAGACTGGAACCTTCCTGGAGAAGGTGCAGTTTGACTAGATGAAATGACACCTGGAGATGACCTAAGATCCAGAAAGGGGTGTTTTAAGCCTCACCTTGCAGCGGGGTTTTCACAGCACATCTGGGAGCCTGAAAAACAGCCCTAGATTCCTGGGGGTGAGGCCAGGGACCCTTCACAGAGGCCAGTGAGGGCTTCTGCTCTTGGGGACTGTGTGGGCTCATGTTTTTGGAGTCCCTGGATCCAGTCTTCCTAACATCCACCTTCCCCAGGAGATGGAGTTCTACCTGAGGACCTTCAGCCATGTACGCCCAGAGCCCCCTGGCCAGGCCAGGCCTGCTGCAATAGATGCAAAGTGAGTGCCACCTGGGCATCTCCCGTTTGTATGGCAGGGCCATCAGAGGTGGGAGAAAGGGGTAGGCCAAGGCATAGGTGTGTTTCTAGTCCAGCATGGCCTAGGATGGATCGGTGCCCTTCTCTTCCCTGTGCTGGGAAGGGACCTCTACCTGGGAGGGATTTCAGAAATAGCTCCCAGAACTTGCCCTTCCACTTTCCCTCAGTCCCTCCAGGTTTCTTGCCACGGGAGGCCCAGTGGAACCTCCTCCGCCCTCCTCCTCAGACACGCTGGCCCTGCCTCCCAGGATCCGACCCCAGGTAGGAGGCACTGGGCTTGGCACTCTGTCCAGGTGGAAGGACAAGAAAAAGAAGCCTCCACCATACTGCAGCTTCTGCTGCCTTTGGCAATGTGGGGGTCTGGGGAAACAGCCCTCAAACTTCCCTGTCTCTGCAGAAAAAGAGGAAGCGGCGCATGTATAAGGTGCCGAGGTCTGGGATCTTGGACCGGGAGACCCAGCTGCCCAGGCTTCGGGGTGAGTGCCCCACCCTGTCCGGGTTCTGCTGCTGTGGGGACGGGGCTCCGAGGGAAGGAAGGGCTGAGCCGGGAGCATCAGTCCCTAGTCTCACGCTCCTCTCCATTGTGCAGGGCTCCGGGGCCCAGGCCGCAGCTCCAGCTCATCGACTGATTCTTCCGGTGCCAGCCCAGTGCACGCCGCYGGTCCTGCAGGCGCCTACCACTCGGCGTCAGCAGAGTCTATGGACGAGATTCCAGTGGCTCAGACGCGCCTGGGCAGCGCCGCCCTGGCGGCCCCGGCGGGCAGGGGCCGAGAGACAGGGCTGGCGCTGCAGGCTCGTGCACCGGCGGTTTTCGTGAGCCTAAGCAGCGGCGAGCCCGGGACACCGGGAGGCCGGGAGGGAGGCCTGAATTAGTCTCACCGAGAGGTAGGAGGGCCGAGGAGGAGCGGCCGGCCCAACTCTCTATGCAACACCACATTTTCGCCGCACCGAGTGCACTTTAGGGGCCTGGACGGCCGGCGGGATCGGCCTTGCTCCCTGCGACTCAGCAATATTAGTCCCACCGGCCCCGATGCTCCAATAAACTTTTTTATGCTTTTGCGGACTAAGTGCTTACTTTTCCAATGACCAGGGCCATGGGCCTTCTGGGAGTCGGACCATTGCCACTGCTTGGAGGCAGAGGATGGTTTGTCTAGTTGCCAAATGGAGGCGCGCGAGGATCCAAGGCGCTCARTTCGGGGATTAAGATTAGGAGAGGCCCTGGAAGGCTACCAGAACGACGTTCTGTTTTGCACGTGGGAGACCTGGGTAAGCAGCCTTTGGGCTCCAGAGGTAGCAGCTGGAGTAGAGGCTGCGAGGCCAAGACCATGGCAAGATGTGAGTGAAAGGAGGCGGCCGACTTCGGAGAACCAAGAGCTTTCTCCCCGCGGCCGGATCGTGGGCCGAGCATGGCATTCTAGGACAGGGCAAACGTGATCCGCTCATTATCGTTTTCCTCGGTGCTCTGTAAACTGGACCCTACCCGAGAGAAGACGGAGTTGTGACCGGGATGCCACACAGTGAATAGCTGTGATCTTGAGTCAGCAGTAGACTCCWGTCACCGAGGGAAGGGGAACTTCCTATTGTTTGCCCCACCCTGCTTCAGCTCCCAAACGGCCTCGAGTTGTCGCTCTGCAGAGCTGGATCTCCAATGGATGTTGGGGGCCTGTTTGAACTTTGGGCGGAGCTCAGGATAGGGGGCTGTTTTCCTATTATGGGGACTATTGGAGGACATCCAGAAGTACAGATGACTGCTCTCGGCTCCCGAAGACCGCGGAGCTGTGGGGGAGGGGAGGGAGAGGGCTGTATGGCGAGCTGTGCCTGCGCCCAGCCTGGAGAGCGGATAGGGCGGGGTCTGGTGGGCGGAGCCAGCATGACCTTGGTCACTCTCCCGCCGAGACAGTCTCGGGGGTGGGACTCGCCGTCTCTATGGAGACCGAGAAACAGGGGATAATACTGCGGAGCCGCCCGGGCTGCAGTCCCGCCAGGGAGCCGGCAGGGAGCGGAGCTGCGGAGCCGCCTGGTTTCCCGCATCAGTCGGTCCATTCCTGTGTCCTGACCATCTGAAGCGCTGCAGGAGCAGCCACAAGATAGAAGCCGGTAGGATCCCCGGACGCCGACCACCTTAATCAGTATCCTGCACATAGAGGGGTGGGTGGGAGCGACCTGGAAGGGGTCCCAAACCCGGATGATATAGAGCCCAGTAAACCAGCTGAGCTGCCCTACCCAGGCCCCAAGCGTTCCACCCGCCAGCCCCAACCTCCTTGCTAGGCTGATTGATGACTCCAGCTGTCCCAGCAGGAGCGGAGCGGATGGTGGCCTCAATTCAGGGGCGTGGCTACTCCATCCATGGCCTGCAGACCCCTCTGGCTGCCGCCTGTGACTGTACTCCACAGCCCCGAGATCACCCAAAATGCATTTTCCCACAGACGGGAGTGAGCACTGGATGCAGGCTCCTCCTAGTTCTTTATGACAAGCTTCATGTGGCACCCAAACTCTCTTGGATATTATTACCCTTGGTAAAACAAGTGCAGAGCTGTAGGCCCCTTCTGGGAGATGGTACCCAGKGGGAGGGAGGGGGAGTGCAGTGCTGACTGGGGATGTCTTCCCAGAGGTTCCCAGAGGTTCCCAGAGGTGTAGATCTCTGGGTGCTCACAGTGCCAGAGACTGCAATTTAGAGATGGTGGTGAGGGTGGTCACCAGGAAGCAGAGGTCAGTGTCAAGGCTAGTGGTGATGGAAGACAAGGGAGCTGGGCAGAAACCCAGGCTGTGATCACCTTTTGTATAAGAGGCAGAGAGTTAAAGATGGTAGCCAAGACTGAGGGTGTGGTCAGGGGGTGGTCTCAACATAGTGCCTGGAAATCTGGAAATTTTAATGTGTGAGGTGGACACTGGTGGGCTTCAGTCCAGTACTTTGGATGTGTGAACAAAGTGGGTGCCAAGGGTGTGGTCAGGGGGCCTTGATAAGAATTGTGGGTATGTGAGGGGTTGGGTTGCTGAGTCTTTGGTTAGGGAGGTCTCAGGGCTGCAGGTTGTGCATGGGGATGCTGCATGTGCCGTACAGGTATGGTCAGGGAGGCTTCAGTTCAGGGCTGTGTTCAGTGAAGGGAGTTTCAGTGCAAGGCTGAGGGTGTGGCCAGGGGATTAGAGTGGAGGGCTATGGGTGTGAAGGGCAGATAAGGGTATTTCTAGGGGGGTCTCAGTGCAGGTCTAGCATATGTAGGGGGGAATGAAAGCTGGGGGAAGGGTCAGGTCTCAATTCCAGGGCAGTGGGTGTGGCTGGAAGAGGCCGCAATGCAGAGCTGTGGGTGTGGTCAGGGGTATAAGACCTAGGGTGTGGAGGGCCAGTGGAGTGCATATGGGCTGTGGGAATATGGACTGATGTGGTTGTTCAAGGGTGTGGCAAGGAGACCTCAATGGAGGGCTGAGGTAAGGGACATGTGCTTTAGTGGAGGATCACAGAACAAGGCCATGGTCCTACTTGCCAGCATGCTTATTTCTTCTAGTTATTCTACAATCCCACTTAAACTGGTCCCCAATCTCATGCTTCTCCTAAATTCCACAGACTGGGAGGTTACAGCCCTAGTGGGTGGCATGGGGCCAGGAGGCCATGGTTGTGCCCTAGGCGCAGGGAGTGCTGGCGTGCCCCACCCGTGGGCCTCAGCTCCCCAGCCCAGCCCAGCCCAGCCCAGCCCAGCCCAGCCGAGCAGCACTGGGAGCTTCTCCCTGAGCTGCCCTGACACCATCCTGCCCTTAGCAACATTCTCCAAGCAGCACCACCCTCCCTTAGCAACTGTCTCCAGGCTTCACAAACTGTGGCCAGGCCAGCCCCAAGCTCCCGCTCCCCTCATGTTTTTGTTTAACAGCAAATAGTAACAAGGCTCCGGCTGGGCCAGCTGCACCCCTGCCTACGGCATGTATGTTCTGGCTCCCTTCTCAGGCCTGGGCTGGGTTTTACTAGGTCTTCATGACCCTTACAGAGATAGTCATTACTAAATACCTGCCCAACCAGTAGCCTGTCCTGTCCCAGACCCACCTTGGCATGGAGCTTCCTGGGAGAGGGGCCTTGCTCTGCCATTCTCACTTCCACCCAGGCAGGCCTTGTGCCAGGGCCAGACAGAGCCATGGCCCCAGCTGCTATCCTCACAGTCTTTCTGGACAGTACCACTCTGTTCCCAGCTTGTTGTGGGCATCATGATTTCATCTTCTAAGCTCAGAGCCAGGACTGGCACTAAAGGACAGGACCTTTCTTCTTAGGGCTCTTCCTCTGGGCTCCAGGCAGACACTGAGTACTGGTCCCTCTCCCCAGTCCCAATCAGGGTCTGTGGCAGAAGAGGTGCCAATTCAGACCTTGAGGGTTTTGACTTAGAGGCAGTGATATCCTGGGTCTTGGGAGGGGGAGGGGCAACATGGCTGGGAGGTGATTGAGGTGGGTCCCCACAGGGTGGCATGGCAGCAAGCACAGATGTAGCTGGGCTGGAGGAGAGCTTCCGCAAGTTCGCCATCCATGGTGACCCCAAGGCCAGCGGGCAAGAGATGAATGGCAAGAACTGGGCCAAGCTGTGCAAGGACTGCAAGGTGGCTGATGGAAAGGCCGTGACAGGGACTGACGTCGACATCGTCTTCTCCAAAGTCAAGTGAGCCCTATGCAGCCCCTGCTTCTTCTGTTCCCAGAAGGTGGAGAATTGGGGGCTGGAACCAGGGAGGATGTTGAGAAGGGGAAAACTAATGGTGCATATGTGCATGACAGGGGAAAGTCTGCTCGGGTTATCAACTATGAGGAATTCAAAAAGGCCTTGGAAGAGCTGGCAACCAAGCGGTTCAAGGGGAAGAGCAAGGAGGAGGCTTTCGATGCCATCTGCCAGTTGGTGGCAGGCAAGGAACCAGCCAACTTGGGTGTCACTGTAAGTGCTCTGCTGGTCTCTGGAGGCCACTGAGGGAGATGGGGGAATCTTGGCTGGGGGTGGGAAGGGAGAAGCCTCTCTCACTAGGGCATGGCTGCGCATGGCTGACTTCTGCCTGCCTGGAAATTTTGTTCAAACAGAAAGCAAAAACAGGGGGTGCTGTGGACCGGCTGACGGATACCAGCAAGTACACGGGCTCCCACAAAGAGCGCTTCGATGAGAGCGGCAAGGGCAAGGGCATTGCTGGACGGCAAGACATCCTGGATGACAGTGGCTATGTGAGTGCCTACAAGAATGCAGGCACCTATGATGCCAAGGTGAAGAAGTGAGGCCAGGGAAGGCGCCCACTGCATCTGCCCCTGCCAGAGGCTCAGGCCTGGGCATAAGGGGCACATGGAGCAAAGAAGCCCGGTCCCTTTCCTGCTGGACCTGCCACCCAGAGCTTCCTGCCCAGCCCCATGAGGCCAGCCTACCAGCCCTCTGACCCAGACTACTCTGTGTCCCCTTCCTCCTCCTCTTGCCTCTCCAACTTCTAAGGAAAGTCTATGCCTATAGCCTCACCACCCCAACCTGGTCCCAGGCATGGCTGACTTCTGCCTGCTTGCCTCATATTTAAGCTGCTGCTCTGGCCAAGTGCCTAATTCTTACCCAGACCTCAATAAAGACACCTTTTGTACCAATTGGCCTGGTTGGGTACATGATGACATTCACACCCAAGTACTGCCCTCAGTATCATCATTCTGCTACATACACATCCTATGGGTCTCCCTCCATTCACTGGCAGCCTACCCAGAAAGAGGGAGACATAGGAGTCCCCTTCCAAAGAGCCAGACTACCAGAGATGTCCCTCAGGGAAATGCAAAGCCTTTTAACTGGGCCCTGACCCTGAGTCCTGACCTCAAAGCCTGCCTCCCTGCAGTTAGTGCCTAGTATGCAGACTTGGCCCCTCTCCACTTGCACAGCCTGAGAAGGGATGAGATAGCAGACCTGGCCTGGGCCAAGTCTTGGCAGAAACCCTGGGACCAGGCCTCGGCTCTAAGCCTACCAACTGGAGGCTACCAAGGCAAGTTATTTGGGGATCCATACGAAAATCTCAGATAATCCAGAGTCAGGAGGAACCTTAGAGAGTACATAATTTAACTTCCTCATTTTATAGCCAGGAAAACTGAGGCCCAGAGAAGGAAAGTGTTTCTGCAGATGAGGCCCAACCATGCCTTTTGCCTCATGCCTTTTAACACATCAGGCTCCAATACTGATTTTTAAAAGTAGGGCTGAATGGCTAGTAACAGAGCCTGGCTCTGTGGCAGAGGTAGGAGGTGGAGAGAGGGTGTCCCACAGTGAAGGGGCCTTTTCTTGTTGATTCCCTCCCATGTATTCACCATTCTGGCTGAATGGGTAGGGCCTCTGGTTCTGAGGGCTCTGGATGTTTCCAGATCATGAGGTTCTGGGTGTTGGGCCAGAAGTATTCCTAAGCCCACGGCTTTGGCACCTACTGTCTTCTTTTCAGCTATGACAAGAGGACTGATGGCACCTAGAGCCTACCTAGGAGATGGCAGGTCCCAAGGGTTCTAGAAAAGGCTTGAAATGCACATGCTCATGAGCACATGCCCTATTTCTGGTACAATGAAAACAGTGCAATTATTCTCTCATCCCCCAGTTTGTTCCTGCTTTAGGTCGCACTGAAATCCCTAGAGCCCAACTACTTGGGGATTGGAGGTGTATAGAAATAGTGTGTCTCAGACAGAGAAGCTGGAGGTCAAGTGGGAAGCCGAGGGCACGAATTGACACCTGACCTCTGCAGAGCCTTGTCTCCCAGCCAACAGTAAGCAGCAGGCTCCTCCTCACTGGGCTCTCCACCTTCCCTCCCTCTACCTTTCCCGCTGGCAAGCAGAAGAGGAGTGATCCCTTCTAGCCTTGGGAAATCTGAATTGGAAGTTTTACCACAGTGAGCTTAACAGTAGGGAACCCAACCCCTTCTGGCTTTAACTTACCAAAATACTCTCATAGCAACCTGAATTTACCTGTATTCAAACTGAGTCACCCTCCCAGCTACTTGAACCAGCCCGTATGGAGGGGAGAAGCAACCTGTCCATTCCTATGACTGGCTTGGAGGAACCCAGAGAGAACTGGCTGAGCCCCCAAACTCTACCTTGGAGTAAAGCCCTTGTGCTTCTTGAAAAGCTTCATGGAGCCTGGGAGAGATCAAGGCCACTCAGGGCCAGGAAGATSCTTAAAAACCAAATGGGGCTCCCAGAATCTGGTGCAGGGCAGCCATTGGTGAACAATACCACCACTGCTGCCCTGGCATTGTGTTCTTCCCCCTCACAGCCTCTTTATGGTGGAAAGCCTTGGGTACCCTTACTAGCAAGGCTAGGCATACAAGGAAGGAAGGGGAGGTTCTATAGGWTGGAGAGTTAAAATCTTTCTGAGCTGGGCTTTGTGGCACATGCTTGTAATCCTAGAGATTCAGAAGGCTGAGCAGGAGGATTGCAAGTTTGAGACCAGCCTTGGCAATTTAATGAGACCCTGCCTCAACATAAAAGAAAGGGCTGGGGACACAGCTCAATGGTAGAAGCACCACTGAGTTCAATCCCCAGTATTGCAAATTAAAAAAAAATGCTTCTGTATAGCTAGGGGTAGTGTAGGCCTGTTGGGGTGGCTGTGCCCCTCCTTCTGGGCACAAAACTCTCCTGAGGACTTGGGTGGTAAACTCTTGTTTTTCACTCTCTTCAGGGATTTTCCACCTTCCACGTTGGCTTCAGTTAGCCCCACAGGGCAACAATTCCTTGGCCCTTCTCTTGACAGCCCAATCTTTACCCCTGCCCTCAGGACTGTACCACACAGGGAAAATCAGAACCAGAAATAAATTCCCCAGGAGCAGTCAGCAGCCAGAAGAGGTGCCAGCTTGTGTCAGGGCCAGCTACTTTCTGTGACAAAGGGTGATGATGTAGAAGGTGATTTAGTTTGGATTAGGCTCTTTGCTTCTCCTTAGAGGTGCCCTGAGTAGATTCTGAGTCTGCCATTATCAGATGTTCATCCAGATGCAGGAAAGCCCGGGGCAGTAGAAAGAAGTATATTATTTCTCCTCTAAGGGTCTGACTAGCAGGTTGGCCTATGCCTGGCCTAAGTCCTTGAAATGTGACAACACAGGGCTGTGAAGTCAATAGACAATGCTCTCCCTTCTTGGGCAAGGCTTAGGCTCTTTTTTTTTTTTTTTTTAAATATTTATTCTTTTTAGTTTTCGGCGGACACAACATCTTTGTTTGTATGTGGTGCTGAGGATCGAACCCGGGCCGCACCCGTTTGCCAGGCGAGTGCGCTACGCTTGAGCCACATCCCCAGCCTCGGCTTAGGCTCTTTGATAGTTTCTCAATGGGACAAGGACAGGCCCAGAAAAGTGGCTGGGTGGGGAAAAGAGGCTCTTTTGTCATTTCCACGGAGCACAAACTCACACCAGTTCCCTTGGAGCACATAGGTCAAAGATATGTACAGCTCCTCTGTACAGCTGCCTCTTGGGAAGCCAAGTACAATCTGGAGATCTGTAGATTTTATTTACAACTAGGAAATGTGGGATCTTCATGTCTCATTAGTATGGCAATAAGCCTCCTTCCCTGCACAGCACCATAGTCCAAGCACAAAAGATTATCTAATCCTTCCACCCACCTCTTTCTCTGATGTAGCCCTGAAGGTGAAGAGAAGTATAACATGGCATTAAATTGACAGTCATTCACCCTATACCCTCTCTGAAAACATAAGCTACTTGGGAGAAGTCTGAAGCAGAAATATAACTTGAACCATTTTCCCCATTGAGGTTTTAAATGCCTAATGGATCAGAATTAAAGAAATACAGTATACTTTTGTATGTGAAATGGATACTGAGCCCACGCTGGCACACTCAGAAGCTGTGTCTCTGTTATCTAGTTCCTCTGGGGTTCTTCCTTGTGCCACATCATTGCCAATCCATTCTTCTCACAGAGAAAGCCTCACTCAAGCCCCTACTCCTGGGCCTCTCTAATCTAAAATCTTCCAGGAGCCACATGACCTCACTCCTGCTACCTTCTTCTTGCCCCTTTCCTTCAAGGTCTGTGTGTGTACTACTTCTCTGCAGCTTCTCTCATTGCTTTTGCTCTTGGCCCTATGCTTTGCCTAGTCTAGTAACTTTTTACTTATTCCCAGGCACCTCTTACTTATTCTGAGGTCTCAGTTGAATGTCCTCTGGGGACATATTCCTAACATTACATTTCCTAGGCTATGACTCATTGCCACTCTTACACTTTCATGGAATCATGTCCCACCTCGGACCCTGCCCCAGAATCCCTCTGAGTGCTCCAGACTCTGCACTCCTGAGGCGCTGCATCCTTTCATTCTGCTCCCCTCCTTCTCTTCTGTCAGCTCCCACTCACACACTAATCCTGGCCATGACCTTCCCCATGCTGGGATTCCTTACTCTCTTTCTCTGGGGCATCTTTCTCTTCAGGGTTTTTGTATAGACCTGTTTGGTCCTAATTCAAAGCTTCAAGTTCCAGAATTGTTTCAAGTTAATTTAAAATACATAATTTTGACTATGCATTACCAAAAAGAAATACCTTAATGCTGTCCCCAGACCAGCATGAGTTTGTGCTTTATTCCTGATTAAACAAATCATGGGCTACTCCAGGGCCAACAAACTCCAAATGTGTTTGGTGAATCCATATATAGAGAGTCTCTAAAATTTCTTTTAGCACAAAATATATTTGATGGATGTTCTTTTGTGACTTTCTACTACACACTATCAAATGACACTGGGGGAAGTGTCCAGTGTTTTTTCCTTTTTGACATTTTCAGTCAAATGCCTCTGTATGACATGATGCAATTTCTGTGGGCAGAAGGAAAAAAAATGATTCAAGGGGAGGACATAGAGAAATAAAAAGAAGGGACAATACAATGTAATCAGAATAAGCTTTTTTTTTTTTTTAATATTTTGCTGGTGGCAAAGACATTGCAAGCCCTCCATGTGAGAGTAGACAGTGAAGGTGTTCAGTGCTAGCTCCACAAATTAGGATCTGGGACAGTTTCTGAGATGCTTTGTGTTAGATACTGACCCGTGTCATGTGTCACTGGTGAGGAGGAAGACAATGTGCTTTTCCCAAAGGGCGATGATGTCCCCAGATGATGACTTTTTTCAGGAGGCAGGAGTGCTTTCCCGGAATAACCTTTTTGCTCTTTATTCAGCTGTTGCAGCAGATATTCATTAGTTACCACCAGGGATCTGATACCCAGAGGGGGAAAGACAGTCATGAAATCACAAAAGCAAAGTAGATGCCATTTGGGTCTGAAATGTGTGCTAAAGATAAATGTAAAATGAAATATCATCTTTCAACAGAATTGTCAAATTTGTAAGTGGGTTATTTTAAAAGCAAATGTACAGTTTCTTCATTACAATTCTGATTGTGTTCCAGACTGACTAAAGCAATAATATATTTCACATTTTATAGAGTGGCTGTTATACTGTTTTCAAAACAACTTTCCTGATGAGGTAAGTAGGACACTGGCTCCTGATCAGGCCTCAATTTCTATGCACTCTCCAAATCATAACTTCTTTTTCTAATCTGTCCTGCCTCTGAAACCAACAATGATGCCATCCTGTATTCCTGAACCCTGTATTATCAAGTAATGTTGAAAGTCATCCACACACTGGCAAAGAAAAAAAAAAGGTATATACACAAAGCTGTTCATTACAGTACTATTTTGTTTGTTTTTATTTTTGGTGCTGGGAGTTGAACACAGGGCCTCAAATAACTACGTACACACTCCACCACTGATCCATACTTCCAGCCCTGATGGTACTATTTTTTAACAGCCAAACATGGCTAACCAAAATATCCACAGACATTACTAGATGGCAGTCAAATAAACTACAACCACACACTAGAGTACTATGCAGCTATACAAAGGAATGAAAACAAGCTCCATAGACTACTGTGAACTTATTTCTAAGATAAAAATGTTAAAGCAATATTATGCTTCTTTTTATATAATTAAGGGGGAATACAAATGCTACCATCCACAATAAAATGCCAGTGGGAGAAAAGGAAAGGATAGAGGAGACAGAAAAAGGGTCTAGATTTTTCTGAATTTATATTATTTTATAGATTTGATTTTTGGGGCTACATAGAAATATTTTACATAATTATGCAAATAAGACTAAATCAAAAAAATTCCCTAAGAATMAAAAACAAAATGAAATAATAATAAATGAACTTGTACACTGAGTTAATGGGACCAATACACAGAAAAATTGTTTCAAGTTAACTTAAAATATACTATTTTGACTATACATACCCAAAAAGAGATACCCTAATGCTCTCAAAATGTAGTTCCCAGATCAGCAGCAACAGTATCACCTGAAAACTTACTGGAAATGCATATTCTTGGTTCCCAACCCACATATAAATGCATATAATGAAAAAAATACATCCAGAAGWGGGGGGGTTAATCCTCTGGATATGAAGCTATTTCAACAAAAGAGTGATAAAGCTTGGAGCTGAAGATTTGGGAATGGGGTGCTTGTATTTAAATGTCATTGAAAATCCTAGTAGAGGTAGACTGGTAAATAAAGACTTCAAGGGCTTCCCTAGAGCTGCCAAGCCAGTGGCCTTGAGGTCTTCTCAGGTGTTTCTTGGTCTGCATCCAAGGGTACTCTTCTGTGAAGATGCTGACGCTTTTGAGTGCTTCTGAAGAAGACACATACTTTGGATTCTTTCCCTATCACTCTCTACTGAGTGCTCTTGATGCATCTTTTGTGACCAATAGCAGGAAGGCATTTTCCAGAGGAGCCAAATGACTGATTTTAGGGGGTATAGTGAAGAAAGTTAGCTGACCCCAAAGAMGTTAACCCTGTTAGAACCAGTAAGAAATTAATTATTGGGATGCTGCAACCTGCCAATGTCAGCAAAGATCTTTAGTCCCTGGTGTATAAGAATAGCACCAAAAGTAGTACTTTGATCCCTGAGCTAACTGGCCAGGAACAAGAGGTTTACACAAACACTAGAATTAATTTGTAAATTTCATAGATATTATCATTAAAAACAAAGCAAAGGAGATAAAGAGAAATAAACATCTGCTTCCAGAAACCACTAGACAGAAACTCGCCTACCTCTGACTTTCATGAAGAAGGGCAACGGTCTCCTCCAGCTTTTTCAGTTGGGCAAGCTCCTGGTTCAAGCAAGCCACTTGCATAGTCAACTGTTGGTTTTTGCGCACAAGATCATCTACAAAGAGTACAGTAGCCGGGTGAGCAGGATTCCAAGCTATTTACCTTTGATAAGTGTTTACATATTCAAATGGTCATTTTGACAATTGAGTGCCCCATGGCACTCACCTCCATATTCCATTCACACAGGAGTTATGGTGTGAAGAACATGGAATTTGGCAACAGATCTGAATTAAATTTTAACTACTTAATTTTGAACATGTTAATTCATCTTTCTGAGCTTCACTAGAGGAAATAACCCTACCCTACAGCATCACTTTAAGGATTCAGTGAGACACCTGTCCTCACTTTACYTAAGCAGTCAATAAGTATTATATTCTCCATTTGTATGACCTCTACTCCACATGTAATTTGTGAAAACATCTAGAACTGTCAGACACATAGTAATGATTCAATGAATGTTTGCAGAAATGGAATTGTAGCTGAGACACTCATCTCTACCTCCCTAAATTGTATGACTGCCTATAATAATGAAGTAGGCAAAAGCTCAGGAACTGAGGCCAGTTTCTAGAACAATACTTCTTAATGTTCATATGCTTGAGAATAAAAATAGATTCTGATTCAGTAGGTCTGAGAAGAGGCCCAATATATGGCATAATAAGCTGCCAGGTAATACAAATGTGGATCACAATTTGAGATAGGACAGTTCTGGAAGGTAGAAAACAGGACTACAGCAACTGTGCTCATCACCAGAATTAGCCAAAATACTGAAACAGGCCCCCTAGCTGATTGAAAGTAAAGACCTGTGGACAAATACCTACTTATATTTTCAGAGTAGATAAATGGGATGGATGTTTCAATTATTCAGGCTTCTGAGTATCAGACTGTGCTGGGATTTAACAATGGAAATTCAGTGCTTCCAAATAAAGTTCTTCATGATAGTCTGAATGGCTCTAATTTGCTTAGGGAAGCTGAACTGGAGGTTTAAAGTGGAGGGCACACTTTATCTAAAATATTGGCCTAGCTGACAGTGGTGCATGCCTGTAATCCCAGCAATTTGGGAGGCTAGGGCAGGAGAATTGCAAATTGAAAACCAGAAATTTAGCAAAACCTTCTTGGGAAAAAAAATTAAAAAGGCTGGGATAAAGCTCAGCACTAGAGTGCCCTGGGTTCAATCCCCAGTATCACCCCAGTATCACACACACACACACACATACACACACACACACCAAAAAAAAAAAAAAAGAAGAAGAAGAAGAAAAAAGTAAAACAAAAAAACTGGCTTAAAATATGCTAGTAATAAAGTAATATAATCAAGACTTAAATGGGATATTATTTTTCGAGTGTAACAATACAAAACTAAAAACATGCTCAGTGTTTGCAAAGGTGGAGTAAAAGAGCATTGGAGCACACTGCTGATGCACGTGTAAACTGAAAGCACCTTTTTTGGCAATATGTAATAAAAGTCTCAAGAAATGTCCACATCTTTTGACCCACTAATTTTACTTCTAGGAAAATATTCTTTTTTTAAAATATCTTTATTTTGTTTATTCATTTTTATGTCATGCTGAGGATCGAACCCAGTGCCTCACATATGTGAAGCAAGCGCTTTACCACTGAGCCACAACCCCAGCCCCTAGGAAAATACTGTAAAAAAATGAATGTACACAAAGATTTGTGTATATTATACATGAATAGCAGCATTAGTTATGAATGTATAAATATTAGGTCTCTTAACTCCATCAGAAGGGAAGAAAGATGATTKCGAAGAAACATTTTCATTCTAGGATTACTTCTTCCACTTTAGTTCTTTCTTCTGAATGTTTGGAAACACTTCAGAATTACTTATATTCTCTGTATATTATTTATATAACTATTATTATAAGTAATGGCAGCTATATTTATAACAACAACAAACATCGGAAACAACTATACAAAGGACTAGGTAGATAAATACAGTATATTCATGTGATACCATAGGAACTACCTATGCCTTTAAATTAGTATCATTAGTGTATAAAAACCAGGTCTGTGATTTCTTGGGGTAGAGAATGTGGGAAACTGTACAAGGGGCATGAGGGAACTTTATGTGATATGTTCTGTGATATGAGTAGGATCAAACTTAAAATGTGTGCATTTTGTTGGGCACAGTGGTGCATGCCTATAATCCCAGTGACTCAGGAGGCTGACATAGTAGGACTGAAAGTTTGAGGCCAGTCATGGCAAGTTAGGGAACCTCCCTCTCAGTAGTTTATCAAGATCTTGTCTTAAAAGAAAAAAAATAAAAAGGGATGGGGATGTAGCTTAGTGGTAAAGAGCCCCTGGGTTCAATACCTAGTTTAAAAAAATGTGTGTGTTGTTGGATGTAAATTAACAAAAAAACTTTTTGCAGTGTTGGGGGGTTGAACTTAGGGCCTTGTACATGCCAGTGCTCTATCACTAAACCACACCCTGTAAATTATTCTTTAAGATATCAGAACACAATTTAAAGTTCCTAATTAAACATACATACATAGAGGTAAATTAACAAAACACCAGTGATAATTATTGCTAGGTCACAGGGTTATATTCTYCTTGTATTTTCCAAACTTTCTGTAGAAAGCACATTATACTTCTATAATCACAAAAGCAAGTATCATTGTCAAAAATAACAGCAATAATAACATTTGTGCATGCTTTGCACTGACAAAGATCTGGTAGCCCAAGCCCCTTGCAATACACCTCTCTGAATCAGGATGATTGTTTCCACTAACTCCCAAGAAAAGCAATGACCAAGTAAGTCAAGGGCAGCCACATGAACTTTGGCTGGTGAAGCTTATTAAATGGGTCATCTATAGCAGTTGGCTTGAGAAGTCCCACACATGACTTACCATAAGTATGAGACTGGTGTCCACTCACAATTGAAGTGGCAGCACCTTCCTCCAACTGCTGAATTTTTTCTGTCAGAATGAGGTTTTCCTCCAGCACTCTGACCAGTTTTTGCTTCAAACTTTCCTTTTGATCAGAAAACAGAATACCAACATATTAAGAATCTGATATCCTGAGTAGTGATTTTAGAGGATTTAAAGAATCTTTTCCTTTAGTGATAAAATGAATGAAGGTCAGCATCTGTGTGACTTTATCACTAATTTAATTCATTGGCAAACACAGCTGACGTGCAGCAAACAAATCAATCACATGGAGTCCTGATCTTTCCTATGATTTACCCACCACTCTTGCTAAACAAGTGATAATTTTGACAAGTGGCTAGCATTCTGARTCATCTAAAGTTTCTAGAACTGAACTTGGTGCCTGAAAATCCTCTAATGTTAAGAATAGAGATAAAGGCTTGGGGATGTGAGTTTCTTCTTCCTCTCCCAGAGTCAGCAACCTGATGCTCTAGCATGAACCCTGGTTCTATGCTCTCAGCTCTATCAGAAGGGAGGAAAGGCAGAGACATTTGCCTTCCTTCATTTTGCTCAAGCCATAAACTTTGAGATCATGATCCTAAATATTTTCACTCTAGGGTTTTTGTTCACTCCCCCTTCCCATTTCAAGTATTTCTTCAAAATTTTTTGATTAGGGCCAGGATGAGAAAGTCATTCTTGGAGAACTTCCAAGTTGTCCCTATGGAAAGAGTTGTGTTTCTGATTTGTCATCCAGCCTGACTTTTCTATATTGGCTTCGAAGTGTTTAGGTGTTCCTAATGATGATAATCTTTGGGTCTTAGAGCCATTCTAATCCTGCTGCTCAATTCTTTTTTAGTTAAGGAAGAGGAGATAGAAATACAAGAGAGCCATACCATATCATTAGGGACAAGTAGCCCAGCCTCCTTCAGTTCACTGTCCCTCCTGCGGAAGGCTTTTGAGGATGGGTCTTCAGGATGTGAGCGACACCACTGTTGAGGAGGGGGAGCTGGGACTACCAAAGACAGAAGCAGATCTCGAGCAGGACCTGGAAAAATTCAGGTTGGGTACATGGGCCAATCTTAAAGGCTAAAGCACAGAATTTCTAGTCATTAACCACCAGCTTTGTAATGTAACTATCTCCTTTTTACAATAATTTGGTTAAGTAGTTGTAAGAGGTGTTTTGTGAAGGCTAAAATATTAAATCCCATGCCCTCTGTGGAGGAACAGCAACAACSCTTCCTTCCTGAGTGCACTACTCTCAAGTCAGTGATTCATGGCTCCAGGGCATGATTTCCTACCATATGAGAGCAATGTGTCAACTTGGGAAGGAAAATCAATGGGCTAGGGTTTCTTCTCCCATGTGTCCCTTTAGGATAAAAAAAAAAAAAAAAAAAAATCAGTGCTGGGGATTGAACCTAGGGTCTCATGTAAACTAGGCAAACACTCTGCCACTGAGTTACATCCCAGCCCTTAGAAATTTAAGAAAAAAAAGTTTTTCCAACCTAAACAAATTTCAAGTTTCTAGTTTTCACTTCAACTTTTATTAACACCCAAATTTCCTTGAATTCTTCTTTCATTAAGCAACAAATGCATGAAGTCAAAATTTGCAAAACTGCTTTCCCCCTGTTTCTTAGAAAGAATCCCTCAGAAGGATCCAGGTCATTTACTCATTCAAGTTTTTCAAACCATAAAATTTAAACAGTCATCTCAGAATTCTGATGATCAAACCTAATTTCTGTTGTATTCATTACTGGCACTTTCCCAAGGATCATAAAATATTTTTGCAATTATTAGCATGACCATTCTCAATTTACATATCTGGTCATTCTATATATTACTAAAGCCTACATGTGTGAGCATGTGTGTGCACACACATACACACTCACACACAGACATCACAGGAGGAACAAAACAGTTGCTACAAAACAACTGGAAAGAGTGCTTGATTTTTAATATGTGGGGAAGACAAATGTAAGAAAAATGCATATTTGTTAACTATGGTATTTTTGAGATGTTTTATATATAAGAACAATTTTCCTTGCAAGTTAAGGGTCTAAGTGACTTAGCAGAACAGAGCAGAAGTAAGATGCAGTTCTCCTCCAGGAACTGCAAATGCACTAACTCACCGAGAAACTTCTTGTTGAGGAGGAGGGAGCCAGAGCCACTCCAGTGCTTATCCACAAGCTCCAGGAGCTGTCTGAGGACAGTGGCCACATGGGGGGTTCTGGCAGAGATCGGGGGACTGTGGTTTCCTGGCAAACCATGCAAACTGCCCAGGTCACTAGAGAGAGGCTCAAGAAAAAAAACACAAACCCCCGCAACCATTTGTCATTCTTACACAACATGGAAAGTAAGAATCCAGACATTTAAAGCACTAATATTTTTTAAAATGGTAAAAAGTAAAAAGAGATGGTTTCAACTTTCAGTGTGRATTGGAATAGCAGGTTATTTATGCCCAAGGCAAACACGTACAATATTCAAGGATAATATCAAAGGTAAGAGTATTTTCTAACATAATTTTCTGAGTGGATTTTCAGAATAGATTAATAATAAAAATGTGTTGCTTGACACCTACATCTATGATTTGATATATTATGTAATAGAAAAAGATTAAAATGTAGAATATTTTAAAAAGTAAAACTGGGAATAATTAATAAGAAATTATAACTCATAATGAGCTTCTACTTAATATATTAATGTATATATTTCTTAAAAAGAATCCCTCAGAAGGATCCAGGTCATTTACTCATTCAAGTTTAATGTATAATAAGCATAAATGTCCTATAACATTTTAAATGTTATATGTTAAATGTTATTGCTGGTGCCAGGTGTGATAGTGTACACCCATAATTCCAGAGACTAAGGAGGCAGGAGGACTGCAAGTTCAAGGCCAGCCTGGATAATTTAGCAAGACCCTGTCTCAAAATAAAAACTAAAAAAGGATAGGGATATAGCTCAGTGTGGTAGAGTGCCCCTGGGTTCAATACCTAGTACCATTAAAAAAAAAGTTACACTGGGCATGGTGGTACACACTTGTAATCCTGCTTGGGAAGCTGAAACAGGAGAATCTCAAGTTCAAAGCCAGCTTCAGCAATGACAAGGCACTAAGCAACACAGTGAGACCCTCTAAATAAAAAGTACAAAATTGGGCTGGGGATGTGGCTCAGTGGTTGAGTTCAATCCCCAGTATCCCTCCCCCAAAGAAGTTACTGTTGGACCTAGTACTAAAGATATTTTTTATTCAGTAAGAGCTATATACACAACTTGTATAGATAGATCTGTATAGTAAAATTCACATTTTTTKTGTGTGYGTGGTTCAGGGATTGAACTCAGAGGTGCTTGCTACTGAGCTATATTCTCAGTTTTTTTCAAATTTTATTTTGAAATGGGGCCTTGCTAGGTTGCTGACGCTGGCCTTGAATTTAAGATGCTCCTGACTTAGTCTCCTGGGATTATAGGCAGGTGCCATTACACCTGGCCACAACTGTTTTTATTCATTGTGATCTGACATTTATGTAATTTATGTAATTGTGAATTTTACTGTACAAATCAACCAATCTTTTCTGTAGAGTCTCATGGGCTGTAATAAGACTGATATAATTAAAAACAGTCAAATTATTTCTCAATCTTCGATGTAAAAATTATGAATGATTAGTTAATGAAACAACACTAAAGACAGTGATATTTATAGCTTAATTCACATGTGTTGCCTATGATGGTAGGGAAAGGCAATACAAATGGGATAAACATTTGTTCAACAGATCTGTACTGACCACTGATCATGTGTCTTGAGAGTACTGGACTAGTAACTCAATAAAGACTGTGGATATATGAAGAGGTGAAAGATGGGGTCCTTTAAGAAGTTAACAACCTGACTGGGGAAAAAAGTTAAGAAAGTCTGTTCACGCCACAGGGCTACTCTTTATAGGAACTTGTCAGTAATTAATATTTACTGTCATTYATTTTTGGTGGATTGTACTTTTGTGTGTACATCATGAAGCAACTTGGAAATATATATGCCTTTTAGCACTTTTATTTATGATAATCTGGGGAGATTTGGGGATAATTTTTATGAACTATGAGGTAATTTTGTTACTTTTTATGTGTCATTTAATTTTCAACAAGTTATGTTTTATATACTTTATGGATTTTTTTAAAGCATTATCTACCTTAATTTTTACAATTTGTGCCTCTAAAGTCAGTTGGTCAAAAATAAATTTTCTAATTACAAAATCATGTATAGAACTGAGCAACCTAAGATTGTTTTTTATATCTTTAAAATTTAATGCTCTTTTCTTTTTGGAAATTTTCTGACTTAACATCTTATAAAAATGGAACAGCATATTTCTTTTATATTTATATTCAGGGGATGGAGCTAAGACTCAATGGTAGGGCATTTGCCTGGTATGTATAAGCCCTGGATTTCATCCCCAGCAYCTTAAAAAAWAAAAGGTCTGGCTTTATATTTATATTCAAGCAGCAATTTGAAAACTTTCCATATTAAAAAATAAAAAACACCTAATGTCTGACAGGAAAGAGAGTTTGTAGTCCAGAAAAGTGCATTGAGATTTTTTTTTAATATTTATTTTTTAGTTGTAGTTGGACACAATACCTTTATTTATTTATTTTTATGTGGTGCTGAGGATGGAACCCAGAGCCCCACACTTGCTAGAGGAGTGCTCTACCACTGAGCCACAATCCCAGCCTCGCATTGAGAGTTTAACAATATAATATGAAGTAGAGGTGAATTTTTTTTCCTAAACCTTCTTACTACTGTGGCATCCCAAATATCCTAAGTGATACTGTGCCTTTACCCTAAATACATTAACTCTCAGTGTTTTGTCTGATAAAATGGGCATTGGTGGCAGAGAATGGGGAAGGARAGAAAGAGAGAGAAAGAGAGAGAGAGGGGAAGGGCTAGCACAAGCTTAAAAAAAGTATTACAAGACTGCCCCCTTTGGTACACAAAAATTATAATCACCTCCAAAGTTCTGTAAACTGAATGGGAAGAGTCAAAAAACAAACAAACAAACAAACAAAAAACGACCAAAAAACTCTCATAAACTCATCCCAAATATGTAAAAAAAGATTTCCAACAATTGAAAATACAAATGACTAGAAACAGCAGTTCTTGATCAAATATTTTGTTCCCTTACAGGACAGTAAATGATTAACTGACAAATGTTCAGAGAGGATCCTAAGGATTTGTGGTTCCTATAACTAAAGAGAGAAGTCTTCATGATTATCAGAGTTAAGATCTGGAGAAAAGTTAGCATTCAAACAGAAAAGAGAGGGGAGTGGAGGGCATTTTCTGTGAGGAATGAATGTGGGATAAGCTTGCAGGGCCAAACTTCTTAGTAAGTGTTGAAGTTTTATTATATATACTATTACATTTTGATTTTGTAAAAATGAACTATATTGCATATGTGGGATTGTTTTTGATTTTTCATTCATTTTCTGAGCCCATTTTTAGCTAAAAATCCCTTGGATAATCTAATTTATCTTCTTTTTTACTTTTATTTTTTAGTTATAGGTGGACACAATGTCTTTATTTTACTTTATGTGGCGCTGAGGATCAAACCCAGTGCCTCATGCATGCTAGCCGAGTGTTCTACCTCTGAGCCACAACCCCAGCCCTAATTTATCTTCTTGCTGCTACTTTGGCAAAAATTTAGAATTATATGAATTTGTAGGTAGAAAAGTGAAAACAAAGCTTTTTATAAAAACTATTTCAAGTAAGTCATTTGTGGCTGAAAAAAATGAGTAAGCATGATGATATTATTAAAATTAATGCTATAAAGATCTTCAGCTAACCCAGAGGCCCTGAACTGTCTGAATTCCTTCCTGTTAGTAAACTCTTGTTGACCACTTCTTAAAGTATTTCCCTACCACATTTTTTTACTCTGGAAGTAGATCAGGGATAGTTCCCCTGTGATAGAAAGGAGAAAATGGTGGCAGTGGGAAAATGACTTTCCCAAGGATAGAAGAATCACAGGCTTTAGCCTGACAGCGTTAGCCTGGCTTCTGAAAATTCTTTTGAACTTCTAGCACTATTGGCTAGAACCAACACCATCCCCACCAGAACCCCATTCTAGTCTTGAACTGGATGTGTTTCTTGCACACACACAAACAAGCCAACACTTGCCTCACTGCCTGTAGCATCTCGGAAACCATGCTTTGCACTCAGGTTGACAAGAATATTGTCCTTCCGTTTGAATCCTCTCTTGGATGGGCTTAATGACCTYTTGGTCAGAATCTCTCTGTCTTCTGAAGTCCCAGGAGGTAACAGCAGCATTCGCAGAGAGTTTCCCAGGGCCGAGTTGTTTGGGAAAGAGCCATGTGCTGGTGTTAAATCACTGAGGTTGCTGGATAATTGTTGCTCTACATTGACCAGCAAAGCAGGGTCACTGTTGAAATGAGTGGTGGCATATAGCTCTGTGGAGGAAACAGGCTGGAAGATGAACCTGCCCTTCAACTCTCTTATGTCCAAAGATCATAATAATCACTCCCTAGCAAATACCCTCAACACTCTGGACCCTTTCTATCTCCCTTCACCTGGTAAAATCTTAACTGTGATTAAATCCAATAACCCACATGCTCCAAAAGCTTATACCACAGCAGTGGAATGTGGTTGGAGAATAAAATGCATCTGAGCTTCCATACTTTATTACTGATCACTATCTTGTATAGGCTCTTAGTTCTGTCCGGCTCTCATATATATTACCCTGGAAAATTTACTTTTCTATACTCTGAGAGGATCATTTCACATTTCTTATCTTCCTCAAACTTCCATCATCCTCTCTCCTTTCTCTCAGGTGATGATCTACACAGAAAAAATAGAGATAATMAAAGAAAATGTCCATGTGATCCCACCACTAAATCTACCAACTCTTATTTGTATTTGTATCCATAAATTCTCTGCCTCCTTCTTATTACAATAGATGAACTGTCTGTGCTTCATTTAAAGCCAACCTTTCTTTCTATTGGTAAACTAGATCCTATTTCTTCTTGACTACCCAAGCATTTTCTACTTGTAATTGTCCCCCTTCTCTCTTGCATCTAGTTTCTCATCTAGTTTCACAGTTTTAATGCCACCAAAACACTTATAATTCCCTAATTCATATTTTWAAAAAATCTTTAATTTTTTAGTTTTTCAGGCGAACACAATATCTTTATTTTGTTTCTATGTGGTGCTGACAAACGAACCCAGTGCCTCACGCATGCTAGGCAAGCGCGCCACCACTTGAGCCACATCCCCAGCCCTTCTAATTCATATTTATAGCCATATCTTTCCCCCTGAATTCCAGACTAATAAGTCCAATTGTCAGGTTGGCATCTCTGGGATCTTTTGGTAGACATCTCAAACTTAAGACATCTAAAACCAAACTCTTGATATTTATCTGAAAACCTGCTTTTTCCACTCTTTTCCATCTTAGTAAATGATAACTCCATTCTTCCAAAACATCCTGTTACTTCTCATCACCTTAACCACTCTATCTAGCCAAGGCCACCACCAACTCTTATCTGGACCATAACCTTTTAAATGGTTAAAAGAATTTTCATCCTTGCCCCCACTCCCACAGTCTATTCTCAATACAGCCTCCAGAGTCATTCTTTTCTTTTTTTGGTACTAGAAATTTATCTCAGGGTCTCACACATGCTAGGCAAGTGCTATGCCACCGAGTTACATCTCCAGCCCTTTAAAAATTTTTATTTTGGGACAGGGTCTTGCTAAGTGGCCTAACCTGCCCTCAAATTTGCCTAACCTTTGGAGTAGCTGGGATTGTAGGTGTCTTCCACCTGCCCAGACAGAGTAATTCTTTTTTTTTTTTAACATTTATTTTTTAGGTTTAAGTGGACACAATATCTTTAATTTACATTTATGTGGTGCTGAGGATCGAACCCAGTGCATGCTAGGCGAGCACTCTACCACTGAGCCACAATCCCAACCCCAGAGTAATTCTTTTTTTTATTTTTATTTATTTATTTATTTATTTATTTATTTATTTACTTATTTTCCAGCTAGAGTAATTATTCAGTTAGATCACATAATTTCCTTGCTACAAACCATTCAAAAACTTTTTCTTCTTCTTCTTTTATTTGGTACTGGGTATTAAACTACTTAATCACTGAACCACTTTTTATGTTTTCCCCAACCTTTTTTTTTTAAATTAGTTATTGATTGACCTTTATTTATTTATTTATACATGGTGCTGAGATTCGAACCCAGTGCCTCACACATGCTAGCCAAGCACTCTACCACTGAGCCACAACCCCATCCTCCCCAACCCTTTTTTATGTTTTATTTTGAGACAGGATCTTGCTAAGTTGCTCAGGGCCTCTTCAAGTTTCTGCAGCTGGATTTGAACTTGTGATCCTCATGCCTCAGCTTCCCAAGATGCTGGGATTACAAGCATTTGCCACTGCGCCTAGCCCTTCAACTACTTCTAACCTCACTCAGAATAAAAGTTTGGCCATCTCTCTGACTTCATCCATACACTTCACTTAACTCTACTATAGCCACATGGGTTGTGTTTCTTGAACATGCCAAGCATGATCCAGACTTGGGAACTTTGCACGTAGTAGTCTCACTAGAAAGTTCTCCTCTCACTTATCTATATGGCTTACACTCTTACTTCATTCAAGTCTTTATTTACTTATTTATTTTAGAGAGGTCCTGGGGATTGAACTCAGGGTACTCTACCACTGAGCCACATCCCCAGTCCTATTTTGTATTTTATTTAGAGACAGGGTCTCACTGAGTTGCTTAGTGCCTTGCTTTTTGCTGAGGTTGGTTTTGAACTTGTGATCTTCCTGTCTCAGCCTCCCAAGCCACTGGGATTACAGGAGTGCACCACAGTGCCTGGCTCATCCTTGTTTTTTTCATCACAGCACTTATCATAAATTTACACATGTTTATAAGTTTTGATTTATTGTCTGCTCTTATTATAGAGCTTACATGAAAGTAGGGACTTTTAAGAAATTATGGAATTTGCTTTTGCTTACTACTTTTTCTGAAGAGCTAGAATAGTGTCTGGCATATATTATGTATATAGTTGAATAAATTAACATATAATTAAAGAATAGTCTCCATCAATTACTCTGAAACTAGTTTCTTCTGAAGGTAACTCATAATATTAGTGATTGTGGTCAGAGAATATTATATGCAGCTACAAACACATCCTGGGATGCTACTTAACTAAAATAAAATGTAGCTGTGAAGTTTACATTCCTACAAATTTTCTCTAACATATCTGTTATGTTAAACTCTACCCTGTAGATTTCTGTAAGTTCCATGGACCACTGGAGGCCCTGAAATACAATTTAAGAAATGTTAATGTGCCAGGTGTTGTGGCTCACACCTGTAATCCCAGCAGCTTCAGAGGCTGAGGCAGGAGGATTGCAAGTTCAAAGCCAGCCTCAGTAATTTAGTGAGATCCTAAGTAACTCAGTGAGACCCTGTCTGTAAATAAAATATAAAAAAAGGGCTGAGGACGTGGCTCAGTGGTTAGGTGCCCCTGGGTTCAATCCCCAGTGTCAAAAAGGAAAAGAAAAGAAAGAAATGCTAATGCAATTTACGAAACATTAATTCCAAAATTTCCAGTTATACTTTCTACCTTCATGCMTATGAAAAAGATCTGTAAACTGACAGGAAGCTATTACCTGAACTAAGCTTCAAAAGTCTTTCAGTGCTGGAGTCGGGGTTTGACAGAGAAGTCAGTAAATCTCCACAGGAATGGGATACGGTGGCCTTTATGTCATTTGGAAGCTTTGTGCTATATTCTCGGTAGTTCTTGTTTCTCTGAGGCCTTTTACCAAGACTTTCATGCAGGGTTCGAGTTTGAGAATAATGACCATCATAATTTTCCAGACCAACATCAGAAGGTATCTGATAGGGATGGATCTGGCTAGAATCACCCACATCCAGGCGTTTACCCAATGAGGCATCATGAGAAAGCTGATAAGTATCAGGTTTTGTTGTCAAGTCCTTTTCTGGAGAAGAACTTGAAGATTTATTGTCCAAAAAAGATATTCGGTACCCATCTCTAGTCATCTTCTCTGGGGATTGGACTGTAGACTGATGAGGCGAGTAGTGTCTGAATTCTAATTACCACCAAGAGGGGAGAAAACACACACAATGAGAATCCTTCATGGGGTGCCTCTGTTCATTGAGCCAGAAAAAATTTTTGGACAAGGTGGTTAATAATTTTGATAAATGGTAGCATAAAGTTACAAGAGAATTTCCACATGGACAACAAAAAATGTGGGAATTTTTATGAAACCAGTAAAGAATATATGAACATTCAGGAGATAAATTTCACATCAATCAAATCTCCTAGGAATTTCCTCCTAAAACTATCAGATCAAAGTTTGCTAAACAGTAATTTCACATAAAAATTTTTATGTACCACTACATGATAATTGTGATTTTATGTATTGAGTCTTCAGATAATAATTAGTCTATGATTTCATAGACTCCTTGCAATAAAGCTAAGCCAACTCTTATTCCCAAACTCCATCCAGAGGTACTGGGTTAATTCTTGGGGACCACTATCCTAAGCCAATTAAATGGCAGGGAATACAAAACCAATGAAAATCTCTGACTTAGGTACTAACCCAGGTATATTTCTCTCAGATAGGTATGTATGTCATCTCCAAAAGTCGTAGTGGGGCAGGTAGAACATCAAAAAAAAAAAAAAAAAAAAAAGAGAGAAAGCCTTGTGCTCTTTGCTGTTTTAAGAGCTTCATGTGATTAAAGTGATTCCTTACAAAACAAAAAAATACTGAATCTGAGTTAGTCACATTAACTCTTCCAACTCTGATGTTCTTAAGTACCTATAAGAACATCAGTGTTTTACCAAGGGTCAACACACACAGTATGGAAAAGGTCATAGAACAATATCATTAAGTGTCAAAAAGAATATAGGAACAAGAGGGCCTAGTGCGGCCCGGGTTTGATCCTCAGCACCACATACAAATAAAGATGTTGTGTCCGCCGAAAACTAAACTCTCTCTCTCTCTCTCTCTCTCTCTCTCTCTCTCTCTCTCTCTCTCTCTCTCTCTCTCTCTCTCTCTCCCCTCTCTCTCTCTCTCTCTCTTTAAAAAACAAAAAAATATATATATAGGAACAAGGGACTTCTGTTTCAAGTAATAACAAATTAGCTAATTCAGACTATCATTCCATTTAAGAATTTAAAGAAGTAGGATGATATATATGCTTAAAAGCATCTAAAAGCTAAGAAGGTAGGAAAATCTAGGAAACAACAGGAACTCCTTGGTAAGTCTAGCATGGAAAGTCCCTTTTTAAGATAAAAGGGACAGAAGTACAAGACTAAGGTCCACTCAAAATGGGGTATTTAATAACACCCTACCTGCAAAACACACACACACTCGCACACACGCACACAAGCACATGCACATGCATACACATGACACTCTAAAAAAGAACTCTGGGGAGGATATAATATTTAGAATAAAAGTAAACTGGAAATAAACTAGCTCTTGTAATGACTGGTAATACAAGTTTGCATCATCTGGTAGTTCAGAGAACCTCAAAGCTTAAGCTGGAATCAAGGTGACTGATAGTGTTTTGGGTGCCTGGTGGAAGCAAGTGAAAATCTGTTCTAGCAAAGATACACTCATTTAAGACTAATAATTAATTGTTAGTTTAAAATAATTATTAAAATAGCCAACAAAGAGCCAAAACAAACAAAGAGGAAGCAAGACAATATGAGTAAAACCAGTAGAAACAAACAAACACAGACCTCCCCCCCAAATCAAACATTATAAAAAGCAGTTATAGCCTATAAAACAGTCATGCTTGTCATGTCTAAAGAAACATAAAAGAAGTCTTCACTCTACTGTCATGTACATCTAAAAAAAAAGTCTGGATTTTCTTCTTAGGACTTGAAAAAGCATATAGAACAACAACAACAAAATTGGAATGAAGAATTCAGCAGACAGGTTTAATAGTAGATTAGATATAGTTGAAGAGAATGTAAGATTGGTCAGAAGGAATTAAACAGAGTGTAGACCAGTCAAAAAAAGATGAAAAATATAATGACACAAAGAGGACAAAATGAAAATCTCTGACATTKATTTATTTAACTAAGAATTCCAGAAAGATAAAAGACACAAAAGAATGGGGGCACAAACAGTATTCAAAGTGCTTTACAGAAATAATGAGACACAATTCACAGATATGAGAAGTATAATAAATACCAAACAGAAGAAATAAACAAACTGGGTGTGGTGATACCTGCCTGTAATCCCAGGGAGGCTGTTCAAAGCCAGCCTCAGCAACTTAGTGAGGCTCTAAGCAACTTAGTGAGACCATCTCAAAATAAAAATTATAAAAAAGGGGGCATGGGATATGGCTCAGTGGTTAAGTACCCCTAGGTCCAATCCCAGGTTCAAAAAAAAAAAAAAAAAATTCAGACATCACAATGAAATTTCAGAAAACTAAAGACAACTGAAAATTCTAAAAGTAACCAGAGGTTTTTTTTTAAAAAAAGATTATCTTTTCAGGAGTGATAGATTTCCAGCTAACTTCTCAACTATTCTTCAATATTCTGAAAGAAACAACTGACAATCTAGAAGTCTATACTCAACAAAATCACCCTTCAAGAATTAAAATCCATAAGAATAACATATATCAGGAGGGTAAACGGAAAAAATGACTTTAGGGTCTTTAAATTATCCAAGAGAAGACTTAAGATATTGATTAATTTTAAAATTGTAAAAGTTAAGAACACATATTGTTGTTTTGGGAATTGTATTAAAAGTATAGAAACTATGTGTAACTTATAAACTAATGGTGGTGGTGGTGGGGAATGAATAGAATAGTAACAAATCCAGAAGAATGCAAGAAAAAATAACAGAATAGTTGGCCAATATAAAAAGAATAAAGGAGGCCAGAATATCCACTCTTCAAGCAAAAAATCAAAACCTCACATGTCACTAAACATTCAAGGCAATCCCCAGAAAAGTAGAAAAGAGTTAGTTGACTAAACAGGGCCTCAGGGCAGTGATATCATCATTTCTTAAATTTCATCTGTGTGGGGAAAAACACTCAACAAGCAAAATATTTACCATCATTCTGGTGGCTGTCACTTGGCATCTCCCTTCTTGTCACTTCCTGCATCTAAAAGAAGTTTGAAAGTTTAGAAAGAAGGACATATACCAGCATTCAGACATAAGCTCATTAGATAAGGGGTTCAGAGTACTTTCCTATTAGCAAGGATGTTCATCCATGGAAGCAGAGAAACCATCCTTCAAGCAAAGGTCAAGCCTATTTTAAAAACAGTCAGAATACAGGAGATGCCAGAGTTTCTTTGAAGCAGGTAAGGAGACTCCTTGAAAATATAAAATATCTTAGAAGATAAAGGACATTCCAAAAGGTGAAATACTGTATTTTCTCTGCTTCAGATAACTCAGCATAGAAATTAGATGAGGCCACTTTTTCTTTTTTTTCCCCTCTATTTAAAGGATTCCCATATTTATTTTACCTTTTGGTAAAGCTGAGTATCAACCACAGGAACTAATAGATGTTTTAACAGACTGGAAATTAATCTTAAGCATAACTAGGTAAGGGCTAAAGCAAAAAAAAGAAGCCACCTAAGGTTTGGTTTCAAAAAAAGGTTCTTGAAGTATATTTAGTGTCTTTTTGGTAACCAGGCAGAGAAAGAAGTTCCACTTCCTTGTTTGTTAAACTAAAAGGATTACAGCAATTTCCTTTTCCTCTCCAAGGAGAGTTTTTTTTTTTTTAATCTAAGAAGTTCTAACTTTAAATGTAATTGGAGTATCCTTTTCTCCATTTCCTTAAATTTTTAAAAATGGTAAGAGTGATTTTTTTCTAAGTCACCCAAGTAGAATCTTTAAGAACAAGGAAATCAATTAAGTGCTTTATTTTAAATTATTATTTAATAATAACAATACTATAATAATAATTTTAATCACAATTATTATTTCTTTTTAAAATAAAATATTGTATACTCAAACTGAAAAAAAAATCTTACTAACTTTAATAGTACAGTCTTGATCATCCAAATTGTACATGATTCAGAGTCTTTGCTTCTTTTCCCTCTGGTTATTTTCTACAATTTCATTGCTCATACAAATTTATCAAAGAAAAGGCAAAGGGAGAAGTTGAACATACAGTAGTCAATTCTGCTCTTTGTATCATATTCACTCACACAATAAATCTTATATAATGGTTGCATGACTTTTTCTCGTCAAAATTTTCACTAAAAATTTGTTATTTTTAATTCTTCCCAAGGTTTGCATGATTTCCACCTTCCCATTGTCCATCACTCCTGTGCCGTCTTCACCCCTTAACTTTTCTTTTCTTTTTTTTTTTTTCCTGTTACATGGAAGAAGCAGCTCTGGGAAAGCCACTCCTGAAATGGAAGACTCTATAATTAAAAGGTAAAGGTAGAAAATGTTAAGAGGCAACAGAACAGGAGATGGAGAAATTGGATAGAGAGGAGAAATTTTATGACTAGCCGAAAGATATAACAGTTGCATCCTGTTTGAGAACTAAAATACCTGGAATAAAATGTACTAAAGTTTCATACATAAATATATAACATTTGATAACAGGTTAGTGAGAATAAAGAAAATGGAGATTGAAATTAATAGAGAAAGTATTCTACACCCTGTCTTGCCATTCTCTTTTAGAGGATCCAAAAGTGCCTTTTTTCAAACAAGGCCTCTTAGGCCTTCATAAATAACTCAGTGAGAGTCCACTGAATTACTAGTATTAATCATTGGCTAGTCAACTGATCAGTAGGGGAGTGAATACATTACCTGTGGCCCCAGTGGGAAAGTGTCTGATTTCTGACCTGGTATACCATTGCCCTGGGTTGCAGAAGTGCTGGTTAGGGAATCCTTTATTTCCCGGTTGGGAAAGGGAATAAAAAGTCCTTTGTTTGAATCTGTGTTAAAAGAAAAAGAATACAATGAAGCTCTGACTGGACTTTAAAGGCGAGCATGTCCTATAGAAAGATACTGGAGGAAGGGTAAGTGCTAGTTCTGTTGTCAACACTTGAACACCAAATCAACAATCTCCAGCTACAGGAAGAGATGCTGGGAACAGACTTTGGGATTACACTTCACAGCATTCTAATCAGTAGTCTGCACTGATTCACYATTTCAAACCAGCCTCCTTCTGCCTTGATTACCTCATTTGTAAAAAGAGAACACCTAATCAGGATCTATTTCATGGAGAGTATTTCTAAATCCTGAGATCACCCAATATTTTTTTTAAACCATGATTAGGGAAATAACTTTAAAAATAAAAAGAAACCCAAAACTCAATCCTATTCATGGCACTTGGAAACTGATATTAAGAATAATCAATTAGGAATTCTATTAGGTTGTAACATTTGTACAAAAGTGTTTTTCATATCCCCACTGTTTTTTTTTTTTTTTTTTTTTTTTTTTTTTTGTACCAGGGATTGACCCCAGGGGTGCTTAACCACTGAGATACACTTTTTCTTTTTTTGAGACAGGATGTTACTAAGTTGCTGAGGCTGGCCTCAAACTTGTGATCCTATACTCACAGCCTCCTGAGTTGCTGGGATTACAGACTTATACCACCATGCCTAGAGACTTTTTGCATATCCTTATTTTTAAATATTTTTTTTAATTGTTGATGGACTTCTATTTATTTATATGTGGCACTGAGAATTGAACCCAGTGTCTCACCCATGCTGGGCAAGGGCTCTACCACTGAGACACAACCCCAGCCCAGTTTTTTGCRCATCCTTAATCAATACTTTTAGTTGTAGGATTCTGGGATCTGGGGTTTTATGGGGGAACTTGTATGAAAATAAGTGTTTTGCATTTGTTTAGGGAAATTCTCTCTGGCAATATTGTGCAAGAATTAAGATAGTTTCAAAGGCTTGGTTCTCCTTCAAACAATGTGCTGTTCTGCTACTTTCTGTTCTYAATCTCTGGCAACAGAAAGCTACTAAGAAAAGTGAATGTGAGTGAGCACACAGCATGAATAAAGCTAGCCTCCTGGGAACCAGCCATTGGGTCCCTTTGGGGCTCTAAGATGCTTCCTATTTCTGAGTTGCCTTGAACTGAAATGTCCTATTGTAAGCACAAAATACTCTYCCACCATTGGACTTTACAGAACTGTTCTCAAAATAACAAAAGCTCTTAAACTTTATGTTTGCTGGTCCCTATTGCAGTAATACTGCAGAAAAAAAAAAAAAACAYGGTGAATAAAAGCTGCTGGTTGTAACCTGAATCCCTGCAGAAAAGGCAAATGTGGTCAGTAGGCTGTAATTTGGGTTCAGGCTCCTTTCACAAGCCTTCAAAGGTGTCCAAGGCCCTGCTCCACCCTTCTCTTCTTCCTCCAACACTTGTGTTCCTGTCCATATTCACAGGTTCTTTTTTTTTCCCTTCAACATATTTCTTGGTTCAACCAAATCCCCGACAGTCCAAACTCTTTGGTAAGTGCTACCACTACACCTTTTCCTGTGTTTTAGCTGTCACCTAAATCTGGATGACCCTAGATTGAAATTTCTTAACTCTGATCTCTCTTTTGATGTCCATTTCTACATTTATTGATTAGTCTCAAAGAGTGCCCCATAGAGGCACAAACACAAATTCAGTATTTTCTGAACCAAACTCACTGTCTTTCTTCCCAAAATATTCCTTCTGGTGCCTTCCCAATCTTTGGCATTGGCATTCTTACTGAATCCCTCAAGACAGAAACTTATTCTGAAATAAYAAGTGTTGGCGAGGATGTGGGGGAAAAGGCATACTCATACATTGCTGGTGGGACTGCAAATTGGTACAACCAATCTGGAAAGCACTATGGAGGTTCCTTAGAAAACTTGGAATGGAACCACCATTTGACCCAGCTATCCCATTCCTTGGTCTGTACCCAAAGGATATAGTATAGCATACTATAGTAATGCTATACTATAGCAATGTTTACAGCAGCTCAATTCACAATTGCTAAACTGTGGAAACAACCTAAATTCTCCTCAATAGATGAAGGGATAAAGAAACTGTGGTACATATACACAATGGAATATTACTCAGCATTAAAAGACAATAAAATTATGGCATTTGCAGGTAAATGAATGGAGCTGGAGAATATCATGTTAAGTGAAGTAAACCAATTCCAAAAAACCAAAGGCTGAATGTTCTCTGTGATAAGTGGATACTGATCCATAATGGGGGAGGGCATGGGAAAAATGGAGGAACTTTCAATGGACAAAGAGGTGGAAGGGGAGGGGAGGGGGTATGGGGGCAGGAAAGATGGTGGAATGTGATGGACATTATTACCCTAGGTACATGTATGACTGCACATATATTGTGATGCTACATCATGTACAATCAGAGAAAGCAAAAGTTGTGCTGCAATTGTGTACAAAATGCACTCTGCTGTCATATATACCTAATTAAAATAAATAAATAAATTTTAAAAATAAAAGAATCTTATTCTGGAACTCTCAGTTGAAATTTCAATCAATTATCAAGATCTATAGATGAATCTTTTTCATGGGGGGAGCTTTATTTTAATTGAAATACAATTGAAATATCATTCCTTTCATTTTATTTATTTTTTATTTTTTTTTGGCAGAACTAGGGATCAAACTCAGGGTCTTGTGCATGCTAGGTAAGCACTGAACTACCTTCCCAGCCCCACTTTTACCCTTTTAAAGAGAACAATTCAGGAGCTGGGATTGTGGCCCAGTGGTAAAATGCTTGTCTCACACAAATGAGGCACTGGATTTGAACCTCAGCACCACATAAAAATAAGTAAATAAGGGGCTGAGGCTGGGGTTCAGTGGTAGCGCACTTGCCCAGAATGTATGAGGCACTGGGTTCGATTCTCAGCACCATGTATAAATAAATAAAATAAAGATCTATCAACAACTAAAATATATATATATATATAATAAAGGCATTGTGTCCATCTACAACTAAAAATTCAGGGGGTCTTAGTGTATTCACAAAATTGTACCACCATCATCTCATTTTAGAACATTTCACCATCCCCAGGAGAAATCCCATGGCTATCACTGCCAGTTCTTCTCTCCCTGCCATCTTCTGGAAACTATCAATATACTTCCCATCTTTATGTATTGGCCTATTCTAGATATTTCATATAAATGGAATCATACAAATATGGCCTTTTTTGTGTCTGGCTTCTTTCACTTAGCATGATGTTTCCTTTTTTTTTTTTAATTTATTTTTTAGTTTTCGGCGGACACATCTTTATTTGTATGTGGTGCTGAGGATCGAACCCAGGCCGCATGCATGCCAGGCACGCTACCACTTGAGCCACATCCCCAGCCCAGTTTCTTTTTTTTAATATTTATTTTTTGGTTGTAGTTGGACACAATACCTTTATTTTATTTATTTTTATTTTATGTGGTGCTGAGGATCAAACCCAGGGCCTTGCACATGTTAGGCGAGCCCTCTACCACTGAGCCACAATCCTAGCACCAGCATGATGTTTTCAAGATACACTTTATATCATGTATTAGTACTTCATTCCTTCTCATGGTTGAATAATATTCCTTATATGCTATACCACATTTTGTTTACCCCTTCACCAGTCAATGGACTTTTGGCTATTATGAATAATGCTGTTTTCATTCTTGTACAAATGTTTGTATAGACATAGGTTTCTATTTCACATGAGTATGTGAAATAAAAAGAAGTAGTAGAATTGCTGGGTCAAATGGTAACTGTGTTTAACTTTTTGCGAAACTGAAACTGTTTTCCAAAGCAGCTGTACAATTTTACATTCCCATCAGCAATGTATGAGGGCTCTGATTCCTCCACATCCTTGCTTTTCAGTTCTCTCCTTTTGATTATAGTCATCCTAGTGTGTGTGAAGTGAAATCTTATTGTGGTTTTGATTTGTATTTCCCTGATGGCTAGTGGTGTTGAATATTTCATGTGCTTATTGGACAGTTGCATATCTTCTCTGGAGAAATGTCTATTCCAATCTTTTGCCTGCATTTTAATTAAGTTGCTTGACTTTTCGTTATTGAGTCCTAAAACTTCTTCACGTAGGCCAGGCATATGGCAATCCCAGTGACTTGGGAGGCTGAGGCAGGAAGATCACAAGGCCAGCCTCAGCAACTTAGTGAAACCCTGTTTCAAAATAAAAAAATAAAAGGGGTTGGGGGGTGTAGTTCAGTGTATAGCACCCCTGGGTTCAATATCTAGTATTGCAAAAAAAATTTAAATAAATACTAGACCCTTGCCAGATGTACAATTTGCATATATTTTTTCCTACTTTGTGAGTTGTCTTTCCACTTTCTTGGTAGTATCTTTTGATATGCAAATTTTTAATTTTTATGAAATCCTACTTATCCATTTTTGTTTTTTAGTTGCTTGGGTTTGGGGTGTCATAGCCAAGATATAGATCACTCTTGAAAACAGAAAATCTGGTACTATGTCACCATTATGACTAAGTATGTCATATATAGCAATCAAGAAAAAAAAAGCAATTTGTACACTTAGGTAATTTTTTTCTTGTCTTATACTCCAGTACATTTTCTTTTTTTCAGACATAAGCTATGTCCAGCACTTAATTCCAAGGCACATGTAATTATGACATTATTATACAGCCCAGGTTTTTACACCCATATAATCAAGGTGACAGGATCATATTGGCTTGTTAATGCTGATATATGGGCAAAGAACTAATAGTTGGCTACTTCAACTACCAGTAATCACAGCTGGGCAAGGCTCTGCTTCACATTTGACCAAAGACATAGCAATCCACCGGAAGTAGAAACAGAAATGCACTGCCCAGATCACCATCAGGGAAGGACTTGTTTCCTAGCTCTGGGAGGGCACTTCAGCTATTTGCTGTTCAGGGTCTATGCCAGCTCCAGAGAATCGCCTCCTGATGTCATGCCCTTTCACAAAGAGTCCACTTTCCGTGACAAAG